ATGGTATCATAGAGTCTATCTCTTCAAAGGCAGATTTCATAGTCATTGTGGCGTTGAGTAATTGTACAGTGAAGTATGGGTACAAAAAGGTGGTTCGGCGCATTACGCGAATCCGCGCATTACGCGCACGGACATGGTAAGCCGAGGCTCGCAAACTACTCCCTTTTGCAAGTTCAGGTAACGAGGTCACGACACAAGCCTTCGTAACTCCACACCGTAGTATGAGTCATCTTTCGAGTATTATGTGATCAGCCAAGTGCATGGTAAGAAATATGTAGATGGCTATTGTATAAGAGCCACCCAGCGTCCAGTCTCAAGGACGAAGATCCAACAGTAGCAGCAACCTAGATCGCAGTCACTCCAGCATCATGTCATCCCAAGCCCAGAACGATCTCGCAAAGCACTTCCGCTCTCTCCACGTACCCGGCAATCCACTCGTCTTGACCAATGTATGGGACGCCATCACCGCTTCTTCCATCGCAGCCCTTCCCCAGACCAAAGCCCTCGCAACAGCATCCTTCGCCATCGCTGCAGCCGCCGATCTTGCTGACGACGATCTGACTCTCGAAGAGAATCTCCGCGCCGTCGGAGTAATCGCCAAAATCGCAGCTAAGCACAACCTACCCCTAACCGTCGACTTCCAAGATGGCTTTGGTGATGAATTGGAGGAGGGTGTGCGCCAAGTTATCAAACTGGGAGCCGTAGGCATCAATTTGGAGGATTATGGACGCAAGGTTGGAGGGCTGTACAGCATTGGACAGCAATGCGACAGGATCAAGAAAGTCATCGCTGTAGCGGAAGAACAGGGCGTTCCGGACTTCGTAGTCAATGCGCGCACAGATGCGCTTTTTGCGGGTCGCGATGTTGATGAAGCGATTGAGCGTGGCAAGGCGTATCTTGCGACTGGAGCCTACAATGTATTCATCTGGGGTGGGCCGACGAGGCATGGGTGGAAGAAGGAGGAGGTGGAGAAGGCAAGTAGGGCACTTGGTGGGCGGTTGAACGTTATCCTTGTCAGAGGGAAGACTGGAGGTTTGAGTGTCAAGGAGATCGGTGAGCTGGGTGTGGCAAGAATCAGTATTGGCCCAGCGTTAATGAGATGGAGCATTGAGCAGATTGGGCAGGAGGCGGGGAGGATTCTGGAGGGGAAGGGGGTGGGTGAGGTGTGAGCTATACCTTCCCAAAAGAACCAAGTCATGGCAAACAGCAAGAATGAACAAGGCAAAGCAGTAAACATTGCGATTGTTTCGTGCAATAGGTACCATAACCATAACCCAAAGAGCAACCCGCTCATATCCCAAACAGCGCTTTGCGCTCGTAACATTCGTTACAGAAGGTAATCTTCACAGGTTCAACCATCATCAATCAAACTACATCTAGCGGCGGGCATGACGGCGACGAACAACGTGCGCAGAGTCACGCTTTCGGTACTCGTTGTAGTCGGCAGTCACGGTGATGTACTGTGTGACAACCTGGATATCGGTGACGGTCACGCAGACGTAGCCATCTTTGCAGCTGGAGCCACCCTCGGAGGACTCAGGGAGCTCAGGAGCTGCAGTGGGAGCAGGTGCGGCCTCAGAAGGTGCGACGTGAACGGTGGAGGTAGCCTTGGGTGTCTCAGCCTCGCTGGGCTCGGCTTCGGAGTCGTCGACCTCCTTGATGGGAGGCGAGGAGTAGTCGGTGGTAGTAGGGTAGGCGGCCTCAGTGGAAGTAGCCTTAGGCTCCTCTTTAACAGACACAGTGCTGGTAGCCTTGGTAGGGGCCGCAGAGGTCTTCTTGGTAGACTTAGGTGTGGTGTCGACATCAGAAGAGTCAATGCCACCAGACAGAACTGTACCGATATCGATGCTCTTCTTCTCCTGAGCAAGGACCTTGCCCTTGTTAGGAGGGCCCTGGAAGTTACCAGCTGTGCACTGGTCGTTGATGCCCTGGCACTTGGTCTGCCAGAGCGTGCAGCCAGCGCTGCCAGTGATAGGGGCCTCATCAAAGCACGTCTCGGCCTGCTGCCAGCACTCCTCAGCGGAGGCCCAGCAGCCCTTCTCAGTGGTGTAGTCGGAAACCTCCGTGCCGCACCAGTTGGCGTTCTCGACAAGACAGCCAGCGGGCTTCTGGCCCTCGGTCTGGGTGGTCTGGCCAGAGGCATCATTGGCTGCGGAGTTGGCGGTGAGCTTTGCGATCTTGGGGCCGGGCATCTCGTAGGTGGAGGCATCCTTGTTGTAGATGTCGAAGCTAGTGCTGGGCTCGCCGTAATCGACGTATCCGGGGATGGAGACAGTGGATTCGGGGACAAGATTGCCGTCGCTCTCGAGGAAGATCTGGGCACAACCAGTGTAGAATTGAGGGTCGTTGTCATTTGCGGCGTGAAGAGCAAGAAGCTCGGGGCGAGCGAGGTAGTTACCGCGCTCTAGGTTGGCGGGGAGCTTGACATTGAGGAGACCGTTGTTGTCGATAACCTCGTCCGAGCACCAGCGATCGGTGGAGGAGTCGTAGCCGTGTTCGAAGATCTTGAACCAGCCATCGCCAGCAGCTATACATCATTGTCAGTAGGAACCCGATGAACGAAAACTGTCGAACTAACCTGTGTCCTCGATGGCAGAGGAGACCTTCTTCAGGTAGACAGCACAAGGACCCTTGTGTCCACGGTCAAGGCGCTCCTTGGAAGCATCCGCAGGCCAGGCACGGATCTCGAACGAGAGTGTTGCGCCATCTGAGACGGACTGAACGCGAGAGACACCCTTCGAGCCACCGACATCTGGTTGAACGGTCAGTGACACTTATCACGTACATAGAAAGATGTGGCATACTGCAAGCCATGTCGTCGCTACCGAGGCTGGAGATAGGAGCAGTCGAGTGCTCGACGTTGGTGCTCATACGCATGGCAACACCATCACCCTAAACAGTATTAGTGTACGTTTTATCTTGATGTCTTCCTGAACGCACCTGAGGAACGCTATCGACGTAGAAGTCGGTGAAAGCAGTGTGAGCAAGAGCCGCAGGTGCAGAGGCCAGAGCCGCAATGAGCATAGACTGAGTCTTCATGTTTGGTTGATGTGTGGTGTTTCGATTTGCTGATTGTAGATCAAGGACGCAATTGTGTAGTATGCTACAGGAACAAATTGAGTCGCTAGGACTTTACGGCGGGCAAATGAACGGCTGTCGACTGGCGACGATAAGGAATGGAAATGGCAGCAAAGCGCCGAAGAGAAGGACAGAGGTTGGTTATGAGGTCGAGACCGAAGGTAAGGAAAGGAAGCGTGGAGGTAGGATCTAATCAGGCTTTTGATGTCTGACTGGGGCGGATTCCCTGTGCCGATTCTTCATCTCGACATCCCTGTAGTCAGGTTGCCACGCTGCCGCCCCACTGGATGTGTTCCTGGCGACAGATCTCCTGGAAAACACAAGTTGTGCCGGGATTGCGAAGGAGATGTTGACGTCTTCCGGGGTGGTTGTCAGCCTTGAAACGTGGAGCCAATCATGTCTGGCACTAAATTCGAATATGAAACACGAACGCACAAACGGGCAGCGTTAACGAACCGCTAGAGAATGATTTGGTAAGGTCAGTCGCAGCGTAGCGCCTTTTTGGACGCGCTAATTCAGGTACCGCCCTTCATTAAACTATCCTCTTTGATGTGGTAAATCGATCTGCCATCGGCCGCATCCAGAAGACCATGCTGCAAAACGGCCAAGGCAAGAATCTTGATATGAGCCAATTCCTACTGTAAACGATGTCTTTCCGTGCGGTGAGCGCCAGCTATCATCGAACGCTTGAGTGCTATTCAGGGGTATGGAATCCCATAGCAAATCCGCAGCTTGGCGCGAGCTGACTCCAATTTCGCAGGGACTTCGGACGCCATTTGTGAGCCTGAAGCCAAGATATTTGATCCCGCTCAAACTTGGCACGGGTTGTTGTTGACCGTCCTTTACTAAAGAGTAACCCGTGTGTGAACGATTGGGCAGCTCGTTTCAAAGTCTGTTGTACAGCATGTGTGATGTTGGCACGCGGAAAGATTGTGCATGTAAAGATTGCGGTTGTGCTTCCCTCGCTTCAGCTTGGAGCAGGGAAGGTGCCAGCGACCGTGGGTGTTTTCGACTGTTTTGATCTACCAAAGAAATTGTATCGTGTGCTAGTAGTCAGGGCCCTGTGCTGCACAACAAATGAGGATGATTTAAGGTAGGATGGATGAACCTTGTTGGTAGCAGCTAAGCTCGTTCGTGCAGAAACGGTGCGCGACAAAGGGGTTGGTCCTTGCACTCGTTCAAGATGGGAGCTGTGAACGTCATCGTTGTCTGTGTTGTGGTGCAGCGGTAAAGAATAGCAGAGGATAGCACCCGATGCCGGCGACTGCGCGTTTAAGATGCGGCTGGAAATATATTCGGTGATCGCCTGGTAATGATGGGATGTGGATTTGCATGTGGGGAGCACAAGCGAGCGTTTCAGCTAATACGCGCCGTATCCTTCCATACCGACCGCCAAAAGGTCTCGAACGCAGAGCATGCAAGCTGCAGCCGAAGTCCGAAATGATGATCACCATTTGCACCCGCTCAGAGGGGCTTCCGAAGCGGGAAGCGCTCAACATCAAGCTGACCCAGGGTTTCCAAGATCGTAAGTCGAACTGTACACTAGTCTTGTCATCAATCGGTGCTACAGAATTCGAACGAGCCTCTGCGAGTTCCAACATCTCTTTGACGGTATCCCTGGACTCGACCGTATCGACTGAAGGGTCAAAATCCATCAGTGACCTTGCTCTGTAAGCGGGAGGTGGCTTTCGCGTAGACCGTTTGACATTGGAGATTTTCACCCCACATATGTTGCGGAACTGCACCTTCCAGAAACCGATCAAATCACCCTCAGAGCATGCTAGTCCGTCCCGGTCTCTGTTCAGACAGCAGACGATGACGTTCTCATCAGAATGCTCAGTGTGCTCGATTTCCAGCTCCCACAAGATAGCTTTGACACTCTCGACTAGCCAAGTGCTACCTGCTTTGATGACATAACCGAGCTTCTTAGACTCCCCAAGTGAGTTCGTGCCCTGCGCACGAACTGCCAGTGCAGGCTGCATTGGCTTTGCGATCTTCAGATACTAGTGCGTCTGATAGACAGCCATAGGAGAGAACGTTGAGTCCCATTGCAATGGCCAAGCCACAGAAGACACAAGTGGACCAGTCAGGAAGGCTTCTCCTGGGACCAATCGAAGCTGGGATGGGGTCTGGGGGCAGCTGTCGGACGATGACTTCTGTTCTGGCTTCACCGAGGTTGTCCCTCGTATACACGTGCGTGGATCGTGCGAACCAGATCACTCTTCTTCAGAGTGTATGTGTTGGAGAAGACGTCAGTTGGATCGACGTTCGCGAGAAATTGACTGTTGATGTCTCTGAAAGCCGACCACTCGTCCAGTTTGTGTATCTCCTGGACTATGTCGTGTAAGATCATGTGAAAGGCTATAGCGCCGGATTGAGTCTTCCAGGGCGACGCTCCAAGCGAATACAGTGTTGTGAAACTCCCGTAGATGACCCGAGTCTTGGCGTTCAGACCTGCTGCCGCCAGTGATGTTGACAAGAAATCCATATTGAAGGCAACGTCTGAAGACCGCCGTGTTGAGCCAAGGCTCTCAGGATCCTTACGCTTTTCCAACAAGGACCTGGTTATCGCATATCAACGAGGTGTAGAAGGCATTGAGTATCGTCACACTCGAAGCCAGCCGTTCTCGCAGACTTCGTGACTTCTCTGGACTGCATTCTCGCTGTCGTAAGCATGAAGCATTGTGACCTTCTCGTCAAGCAGCTCGGCAGTCCGATTTGAAGGTGCATGCCGTTCTAATAATGAAGAGCTATCGCAGCGGAGACTTGGTAGTGCAAGTTGGCGTCGGCGGAAGGGATCTCATCATCATGTGCAGGAATGAACATCTGGCGTCACGAAGCTGAACGAGAAACGAGCGTGCACGCAGGGCGGCAAGTGGTGCGGCCGGCCCGGGATTTCGGCGCGCCTACTGCGGTATAATTGGGACTGTGCCGCGGCACAGCCTCGATGCAGGCAGCTGACGCCTCGTCGCCTGCAACCTGCCTGCAACCCTCGAGACCAAACGGCCTGCCCCACAGCTCCTTGAAGTCATACTCGCCCTCACGCATCGACTTTGCTATTATGTTCTTCCGCTCCTGCATGAAATTCATCTCATCCTCTTCAGCTACGCTTCCGTCCCCGCTCCTGCTGCGCCTAAACGGCTACTGAGGCAATGCGTCTCTTGCATTACGATGGCGATGGCGAAGGTGAACTGCGACTAACCGATGTCTTCGTCGAAGAGGGCAAGATAGCTTCTTACGTCATCCTCTCCCACACCTGGGCGGAAGGTCAGGAGGTTAGCTTTCAAGACCTGAAGGCAGGCACCGGACAAGACAAGTCTGGCTACACAAAAATCCAATACTGCGGACAACAAGCACGGTGTGACGGTCTTCAGTACTTTTGGTCGACACTTGCTGTATCGACAAGTCCAACAGAGACGAATTTCAACATGCAATCAAGTCCATGTTTCGTTGGTACCAGCACGCTTCTCGATGCTATGCATATCTCTACGATGTCTCAACATCAGCATCTATAACAGTCGAAGGTGAGAAAGTATCTGAGCTCTCGTGGTATTCCGCATTCCGCATGAGTCGATAGTTCACTCGCGGGTGGACACTTCAAGAGCTTCTCGCCCCCAGAGTTCTAGTGTTCTATGCTGAAGGCTGGACGCAGCTTGGAGACAAAGCATCACTACAGCAAGAGATACATGAAATCACAGCAATTCCTCTCTCAGCCCTCCAAGGAACCCCGCTATTTGAATTCAGCGCCAACGCTCGACTACAATGGGGACAGAGTAGGCAAACAAAGCTCGAAGAGGACAGGGCGTACTCACTCGTTGGCTTCTTTGGTGTCGATCTCGCTCCAATATATGATATTGGGTACAAGGAGGCGTTTCGACGACTGCAAGATGAGATCAATAAGATGGATGCATGTCTTAGAGACCTTTATGTCACCGATCCGCGGCACGACAAGAGACGCATCGAAGACGCCAAGGGCGGATTACTGAAGGATGCTTCCTTGTGGATCCTAAGTACTTCTGAGTTTCAAGAGTGGTATAACGGAGATCATGACTCGTTGCTGTGGATTAAGGGAGATCCTGGCAAGGGCAAGACAATGCTTGTTTGCAATATCGCAAACACTCTGACAGAGGCGAAGAAGAGAACAGATGTTCTCGCGTACTTCTTCTGTCAAGCCACAGACACTCGCATAATTAATGCTGCAGCTGCTCTCCGTGGCTTACTGTATATGATCCTCGAGCAGCAGCCTTCACTTACGTCCCACGTACAGAAGAAGTACGAACGCGAAGGCCACAAGGCCTTCGAAAATTCGAATTCATGGATTCTGCTGACGGATATTCTAACCAACGTATTGGGGGAACACTTCCTGCAGACGACATATCTTCTCGTTGACGCTCGCGATGAGTGTGATAAAGACTTGCCGAAATTGGTGGACTTCATCACTCGAAGTTCATCTTTATCGTCTCGTGTGAAATGAATAGTCTCAAGCCGTAATTGGCCTAAGATCCAAAGCCGGTTGGCAAATGTGGACCGTAACATAGGGCTGAGCCTTGAGCTGAATGCTGAGTCCATAGCGACGGCTGTCAAGTCGTTCATTCATCATAAGGTTGCTCAGCTGGCAGAGAGACACCAATATGACAACTAAACCCGGCTAGTGGTACAGGAATATGTGGCGGCGAATGCGCAAGACACATTCCTGTGGGTAGCGGTGATATTCCAGAGCTTTAGGGAAGTGCCGAGACGGCATGCCGTCTCAAAACTGAGAGCTATACCAGCTGGTCTTGACGCGCTGTACGAACGAATGTTGCAGCAGATCAGCGTTACAGACGAAGCTCACCTCTGCAAGCAAATACTGGCCATTGCGGCTGCGGTTTATCGGCCTGTGACTATCCACGAGCTCGGTACGCTCCTCCAGCGGGACCTAGACACTCACCCTGAGGAAATTGTGGAGATTGTGAGTCTATGTGGTTCGTTCTTAACGCTCCGAGAAAATGTAGTTTACTTTGTCCATCAATCCGCAGTGGACTTCATTTCTACAACGGCATCGCATACTATCTTCCCTCACGGTCCAAGAGCGGTCCACCGCATTATTTTGTCTCGGTCACTCAACGTTATGTCAGCACTACATCGAGACATGTACAATTTAGGCGACCCTGGGTACGAGGCGGACAACCTACTCACACCAGATCCCCGATCCACTAATCACATGGTGCTACTCTTGCATATATTGGGTAGATCATCTTTGCGAATTGAATTTCAGTCGCGCTGATGATTGTGATATCTTTAACGGTGCTGGTGCTGTGGAGAATTTCTTGAGGCAGAAGTACCTCTACTGGCTGGAGGCACTTAGCCTCTGCCAAAGCCTGCCTAAAGGGGTGATCTCTATGACAAAGCTGGCAAACGTAGTACAGGTATTGTGACTCAAGGCATATTCTTCTTCATGGATACTAACAGCGCAAAGGAGAGGACAGTCGCACCTTTGTTAAGTGAGCTTGTCATTGATGCAATGAGGTTCCTGCTATATCACAGGACCATGGTTGAGATATATCCTTTACAGACATACGTGTCTGCACTCCTGTTCAGTCCGACTCAGAGTCATATTCGACAATTCTTCCAGGAAGACAGACTCCGTTGGGTTACGCCTTTACCAGACATGGAACCAGAATGTACCTCTTGCTTACAAACATTCGAAGGGCACGATGAGGATGCCACAAGAATCATGTTCTCAGATGACTCAAGTCTGTTGTTGTCAGCTTCCGCGTGCGAAGTTAAAGTTTGGGCTACAGCAAGCTGGCAGTGCATGCATGTCTTTGAGAAGTTTGGCAACGTCATGTCATCTACGTTCTCGCACGGCTCATCGAAGGTTGCATCAATCATGGATGACTTTACAATTGAGATACGGAACACAAAAGATGAGACACACCTCTTTACGCTCAAATTACCATCGTGGAGCGAAAAAACGCGGAGTGAAAGGACGGGGCGCACCAGGTCTTCTATCACATTCGCCCGCGATTTGGACCTTGGAGCGGCAACTCGTGACAACATGCTAGCTATCTGGGACACGGATATTACGGATTACTTACATATGCTCGAAGGCCACGATTGCTCCATTATCTCCATAGCCTTTTCTCAAGATGCAAATCAGTTATTTTCGGCCGCAGAAGATGGGACGATCAAAACATAGGATGTGCGCAGTGTCCACTGCCTCAGAATGCTCAGAAGCGACAAGAAAATTACAACCGGTGCTTTCTACTACGATGCGAGCTTTTTCATCTCGTCCTCCCAGGCTGGAACCTTCATGCATGACACAGTAAGCGGCGAATGCTCCAACTTGTCCGAAGATGTAACCTCGATACTGGTCACAAGTCCTGACTCTACAAAGTATGCTTCAATGCATTCTAGCCAGGAAGTGTTGATGTGGGAGGCCGGTACTGGTATCAAACTGCAGGCACTTGAGTGCCAGATAGTGGATGTGAGGTCATTTGCATTCTCCCACGATTCAAAGTGGCTAGCCGTTGGAGGTATTGTTGGAGTCTTAAGCATATTCGATTTGAGCTCAGAACAGAGGACGCGATTTCGAGATGACTATGATCCCGTATCGACCATGAGTTGGTGTCCAGATACGTCTCAGCTCGCAGTGACACGTGCCGATGTGGGTATCTATGTATTGGATGTAAACAGCGGCCTTTCCTATACTCTTGAAGGTCATTTGGACGAAGTACATTGCCTTGGCTTCTCCCAGGATCAGCCCACACGGCTTGCATCAGGCTCGTCTGACATGACAATCAAGCTTTGGAATCGAGTACTGGGGAATGTGTGCAAACGCTTCTCGGTCACGAGTCTACGCTTTCCTCAGTTGCATTCTCCCAAGACTCAAGTCGACTGGTCTCGAGTTCACAGGATGCGAGAGTGAAAGTATAGAATTTGAAGACCGGTAGATGTATCCAGACTCTTGACTGTGTTGAGGTCAGAGATATGCTCCCTCGAAGTGTCTCAGCGGTTCTGTCTTATGGTTCAAAGCAGCTGGCAACAACGTTTACCCATGGACCCTTGAGAGTGTGGGACTTGGCAAAGAATGTTTGCATTCGAGTATTGCCGGAAGCTGTTAGAGAGACCAGCACTGGTATGTCCTAATACTGTACCGATTATACTGTTGGCGAAGAGAACCGCTAAATCAATGCAACCTAGAGTAGTATCGCTGTTGAGGACTGCAGGTGGTTTCGAAGAATCAAGAAAAGTCAATACTTCGTTAAGTAGCTTATAACTGACTGTTTCCAGGCTGCTCTCCTTGAAGGGCGACCTTGATGATAGATAGAAGTCAAGGAGTGTATACCGACGTGATCACGAATCCCTATACTTCTAACCTTCAGACACCTATCAGCAGGGCTGCGTGGATTTACAAAGGCCGCAAGAACTCTGGCCTCTCCAGGCGTATCAAAGAGCACATCGCGTCTATGAAGATGGGTTACCGCCCTGAAAGCGACATATTCTGATTGTCCAGCTCATTCTGTTAGTTCAGTTTGCTTCTCAACACTTTCACAGCTATTCCCTTCTACTGTATAGTCTCGATTAATTCCCGATATAGCTCTTCAGATCAATCAACTCAACCATCTCAACCCTTCCACACTTATCGATCAGCTAGAAAGCATGGAGCGTTCCGATATAGTTTCAAAGCATTAAAGCAAGAGATCTTTATTTGTGGCAGTTTATGGAGTATAGAGGTCATGTGTGCCACGTGTGTTGGTGCAGTGCTCTTTCCCTTTCCAACAAGCACTTTCTAACTCTGTCTGAACGACAGATACGTCATATAAACAGACCCTGATGGCCCGGTGAGAGAGACTGAACACTGAACAAGAACAACACGATATATACTGATTCTACTGCTTCACGTGTTTTCCCCCTGACCAACTGCCCTGCGTGGTTACACCTTCATTTATTGCAACTACTGCAACATTTATATAAGGGCAAATTTCGACGCCTACCAATAAGAACGCCTACTTCAGAGTGAAAGAAGCTTCGCTGAAATTAGACAACAGCGCCTGAAGGTCCTGAGAGCGCATTTCCGCACCCTGTGTAGCTACCGTGTCCGTGTACTCAACGATTTTCGTCACTCAACGATCGCTGAGCCCCCCATCAACCCAACAAAAGATGAGGCTGTAGAGCTACACGCAATGGCTCTTATTACGAGTTTTTGTAGTGGAGTAGTATAGTGATGCTTGCGCTCAATTTAGCCTGCTTATATTTACTTGAATGTTTGTCACGGGTATTTCCTCCTTACATGTACCGGCCAGCCCTTGGACAGACTCCGGAGCTGGGCTGGAGGCTCACAGGCCAATTGTATATAGTCCTCACAAACCTTGAAGCTCAGCCATCAAGGATTTGTCTAATCTCATCCCATTTAGCCCCAGACGGCCCCAATCTATCCTGTGTCCGATTGCCTGCCTACAGTGGCCTCACAGTGTTTGACATTGCGGCTGCGTGATGTGGTAAGCAGTGGAGGGCTTGGGGGAGCCCAGACATTGTCAACACCACCCACAGCATCACCAACACGTTTTTGACGCTTGCGCCTCTGTGTGGTTGCTTGTGAGGCCTTACGCTTACCCTTCTAAGACAATTGTATAGCTGTGGCAGCGTCGCAAGCTTGATGTTGACACTCTTTCTCAGCTTCTCCTTCTCCGGCACTGCCTTGGCTGCCTCTTGCACCTCACGCTTCTCCTGAGCAAGTTTCTCCTTGTATAGCTTATTGGCTTGCCTTAGCTTATCCGTCTCACTTTTTTTTTTAGAGTTGTTGCTGCAGCTTCTCACGCTCATTGACTGCTTGATGATGGCGTGCTGTTACGACCACGGGATTTGGAGCGCCACGACGAGGCTCACTGTCATCCTGACATGGCTTGCAGTCAACAACAATTCTCCTAGTCCCTATGGCTCCTGGACTGCCAAGTGTCAGCTTGCATCATTGATTGTCTAAGAGGTTAGAAGTGAGACGGGGCCAGCTGGGATACCAACTGCTCTCTGAGATGGATGAATTGGTGGAAGGAAGGTTCAGGCTTGTTAGAGATAAGGGTATAAAAGAGACTGTGGAAGGGTTGAGATGATTGATTGATTTTTTTGAGCTATGGCGAGGATCCATCGGGACTATATAGTAGAAGGGAATAGCCGTGAACGGGTGTGGAAGCAAACCCGAGCTAACCGAATGAGCTGGACAATCAGTGCAGCAGACCGTTAGCAAATACTGCAACGGACCGCTGGCGAACAGAGACCAAGTGTGGGAATACCACAAAGGATCAGTGAGGAGTGAGGAGTGAAAAGAAGTATTGTTTTCAGTGTTGTGATGCCATCTACTAGGTTCCTATGCGGCTGTGTTGTGTGGTGTGATCTGCCACCAAGCGCAGCGACAGCAGCATTTTGTCATGATGCGGCGCCGCAAGAGCAATGCTCCGCCCGTACGCGCCGTCAAGGCTACTGAGCATGTTTGCCGTATTGTCGCAGACGCTTACTTGATACATCAGTATGCCGCATTGCTACATGATGTCAGATGACCAACGCATCAAGTGCGATCGGCTCAAGGGAAAGGAAAGGATCCGGTGATGTCGGAGTCCAACCTTCAAGCTTGAGAACCTAGTGCTTCTGCCCAGCCAATTTCCCTTGCAATCCTTCATAGTCAGATTTCTATAATCAGTACTAATTTATGCACCCTTCTTGCCCAATTCCCGTACCACCATTACTGGATACGGTAGAATTATAGACTTTTGTGGTGAACGGCCAGGAGACAGCAAGTTCTCCCGTCTGATCTGCAGTCTGTCAAGGTACTGTTTTAGGGTCTCCGTTATTAAAACCCTGCTAATAATGGACAAAGTGGACGAGTTTAAACGGTGCTTGTGTTCTTACAGCTAGTGCTGCTACTAATGGCTATACGATGAATAAATCTATACTTCTGGATGACTTTTAGTCATTTGAGAGAGAATATCCGATGAAATATGCAAAGATCATTGCCTCTCCCTACTGGCTGCATATGATGGACGCGTCTTCATAGCTGCTGCTGCCATGTTAATGTTAGAATATATATTGTAAAATACAATACTTCCTTCACATACGACCACAGGACGTTGAAAACAAGGCTTCCCGTTCGCTCAGCCCTATTTAAGCAACGTACCGGCGGACTAGTAGTTAGGTGGGTGACCACTAGCGAATCCCCGCTGTTGTATGTTTTTGCCACAAATTTGCTCTCTGACACTGCTCGAATGCAGTGGCGAATTACTGGCAGACTGTTGTTGCTTCCTGCCGATAGCTGGCGCCCGTTACTGCAAAAAGGATCGAGCTAGACGACAATCCGTGTATAGTCTTGGGGATAGCCATCCATCCTCACTCGACTTTTTGATTCATGTAGCTACGCCAACGATGCTTCCCATCTACCAAAGGCCAGAACTCCAAAAACTCCTTTGCCATGCTATTGATGATTGGTATTACTAAGGCATCGTGAAGTCTTGTGTCATGAAGCACATCTTCCCATCCTTCTTCGAACACCGGAGCGCCTGTGGGTTGTTCACTCTCCTAGAAATTGAAGTCAAAACCCGGTCCCGTACCCGTATCCCCAAGATGATCGAAATCCATCAGATCCGTGAACACATCCGCACTGTGACCACTCATGCCCATATTGACATCTTGCGCCTGCGCTTGTGCTTGTTCAGGCGCATCTATACCATCTACAAGCTGCGTACCCTCTGGGACGGCCCGCCCAAACGCTTGTAATCGCTGTGGCTGTGGAACACCAGTCATCCTACCGACCTGTGTAGCGTCGCCACGTGAGTTCATCCAGACCCCGTTCCCGCCTTCGTTGTTTTTGACGGACTTGGTGAAGGGTTCCTCGAAGACGAGAGCGGTCTCATACCATCGGCCCTTGACCTCGGCGATGTCGAAGCGAGAACCTGGAACGGCGAGTTTCCAGTAGGCGAATGTGCGGGCGTGGGGAACGAGGAGATGGTTGCGCCAGGTCATATCTTCGCGCATGCGAGTTGGGAGGTTGGGGCTCTTAGGGATGTCAGGTAGCTGAGCGGGATTGGAGACGGGAAGTGTGGCGTAGCTGTAGATGTCGCCAGCTACAAGTACGGCTGAGGCCGCTTGCCCGGTGGCTTGTTGGGAGGTTCGTTCGATGATGTCGGTGACGACCATGACATCTGTATCTCGGCCTATCCGTAAGCGTACAGCGTCGCCTCTCCAGATCTTCTCAGCGCCCAGAAACAAGCCGTTGTAGTGTGCATCTTGAATACCATCGTTGACCGTCTTCGTGAGGTAGTCGAAAAGAGTGTAGGTGGTGTCGACGGCTTTAGCTGCCATAATTGATCCATCCACGCCCGCAACACCGCCTTGTCCATATCGTCCAGCCATGAGACCTTGCCAATCAACTTTCTCGTAAGGGATGTTCGGGTGTTGTTGCAAATAGGCGTAGGTATATGATGGCGCAGACCAGGCGAGCCATGGCTTCATCTCGTTTTCTGTTGTAACAAGCTCCGGGGTCAAAGAGTCGTGTGGGTGTGACAGCGGCTGTATGAAGTAGGCCTTGCCTCCAACAGCAGTCTTATCGAACCACCTTCGAATGACTACACCCAGTCCCCACGCTCCTGTCTTTGGTCTGTAGTACCATACTACCTCGCCCTGCCGACTTATGAACTTGTGGTAGAGACTGTCCACTTGCTGATCGATAGAGCGAGGATCTGGAAGCGGCATAGATTGTAGAGGAGTAGGCGCCCTGATTTGAGGTGCAGCGGGCGCAGTAACAGGTGTAGCTGGCTTCGTGGCGGGGCTCTGGACTGCCGGCGGATTGGAGACACGACGAGCAGGTATCTGAACAACAGGATTGCGCCCAGTGACTTGCATGCTGCTGTTCTCTCTCTTGATCTCAGGCTTGGCCTCGACCTTCACCGCAGGTTTCTCGACCTCAAGCTGCATAGGCGAGCACATCTTGCAGGTGCAGTTCTGCATGTCGCTCGTCTCGTCGGTGCATAGCCAAAGCAAGTGCGGGAAGAACTCGACAGGGCTCCTGAAGCGCTTGCGCGGACCCTTGGGGTAGCCGTAGAGGTACGCATCTTGTCGGTCGTGTCCGCCGCCGGAGTGATTCTTCACTGTCTTCGCCTGGCCGTCTGCTTTGGTCTTGATGTGCTCATAGAGTTTGTAGTTCTCTGGAAACTCCCACAGAATGCACTGCTGCCACTTGTCTGCTCTTGTCAGCCACCGCCTGGCAAGCGGCTAGCGGATTGCTCACCTTCGTGCTGTTTGCCACCGATTTCGCGCAACAGCATGCCGCCCAGCTTCTTCCTCCAGTCGATGTGCTTGGGATCGTCCTTCTCGATCAGGCGGTAGTAGTCGCATTGTCCTTGAGCGTTCGGCGAGCGGTCGAGCTGTTCCTGCGTGGGTCCATTCCGCACCACCGAACCCTTCTGGTTGATAATGTCGTGGCCGTCCGACTTGGAAGCAAAGATGGGGTAGAAGGGCGTCAAGGGCTGCGTCATGGCGGGCAGCGACTGCGCAAGCACTGCGCGGGAGGTAGTCAAGAGCGCAGTGTGCTTGTCGCAGGTGATTGAACAATTGCTGGTCGCGTCCTCGGCGTTACCAAATTAGCGTCATTCTATCTCCGCTAGCGCCAAAACGCGACTAACATCTGCCAGGCGCGTCTTTCATGCCTCGCCGCCGCAAGCCAGGTGAAGGCTGAAGACTATCTTCACCTCACCATTACTGCTTTTTTTTTGGAGCATTTTGCACGTCGGCGCATTCAGTAGGACGGGTTGCGCGTTGACTATTGTTCACCATCACCACCCTCAAGCTGACCCCCAGGCTGGACCTTCATATACGATGCTGCCCCAATAACACCACCCAAAACCCGCAGTCACCTCGACCCCTCTTCCTCAAATCCTTCTCTCGCGCACAAGTCGCAAGTAGGCTGCAGCAAACGGCGTCATGGCTGATCGTTCACGCCGATCACCAGGCAATCCCTTGCCCTCCACGTCCCAGCGCCGCGGCGGCCACCTTGAGAACTTGCTTGCGCAATTCGGTTCGCAAAACTCTGCTGGTTCCGCTACCAAATCGCGAAGGGCCTCTTCTCAGACAGCGCTCAAGCCAGAGGCGGCGGTTGCTCCCCGTGACGTAGATAGCAAACGGTCACTGCGACAGCAGCAAGCACCAAACTACGTCCCTCCAAGCCCCTCTACCACCGACTCTCCTGAGCCTCTTGGGAAGAAAGTCAAAAGAAACATTCCCACTCGCGACGCTGCACCGAGGAGCACCGGCCCCTCCAATACAGAAAGTGGTTCTGCCGACTGGGAGACAAGTGAAGACGAGCTTGCTCTGCCGGTCCACACTCGAGGACACAAGAAAGATTTGAGGAGCAACGACAAGTACAGCGATCTCAAGATGGAGACAAGGAAGAACACCAGGGCCCTCGATAGCCCCAGGCAGCGCACTGGACGACACACCGTTGTACTCGAATCCGACACTGTCGAGGTACAGCAGCGAGTCACGCCTCCAAGACGCAAGACCGCCCAGCCACCGAAGCTCGACACCGCACGAGCTCGTCTCCGGGACGATATTGCCCACAAGACGAAGGCCAAAGCGAACAACTTCCTCGTTACGAACAAAGAGTACTTTCTCCCGTTGCTCCCACCCAGCAACTACGTCACCAAGCTGGTCGCAAATCACAAGGCCAAGCCCATTGTCGAGTACGAAGAGCTCGAGGAGCAACCGAAGGGCGTCACCGCAACGATGAAGCCGTATCAGCTTTCAGGATTGTCCTACATGGTTTACCTGTACAACAATGGTTTTTCGGGCATCCTGGGTGATGAGATGGGTCTTGGGAAGACGCTGCAGACGTTGTCGCTATTCCAGTATCTCGAGGAGCTCGATCGTAAGAACGGCACAACATCAGAAGAACTACGTCCGTACCTGGTTGTTTGTCCGCTCAGTGTGCTGAACTCGTGGGTCACCGAGGCTCAGAAGTGGGTTCCGGAGCTCAAAGTTCTCCGCATTCACGGCACGAAGAATGAGCGCAACCGTCTCAAGAGGGTTGCTCTTGGCATGGAAGACCTGCAAGGCAACGAAACCGAACAGCTCAAGGGCCGAAAAGCTTCGCGCAAGGCGGGTCTCAAAGTTTCTACGTACGAAGATACAGGGTCGTCCTACAAGATCATCGTCACAACGTACGACACTTTTCAGGCTGACGCCGATTGGTTCAAGCGATCATTCCTCTGGCGATATGTTGTGCTTGACGAAGGCCACAAGATCAAGAGCAATGCGACCAACATCTCCACAGCGCTTCGGAACATCAGCTCGGAGTACCGCATGATTCTCACCGGCACCCCACTGCAAAACAACCTTGTGGAGATGTGGGCTCTATTGGCTTGGTTGTATCCTGAAGTCTTCACAGAGAATACTCAGGATCTTTTCAAGGAGTCTTTCGACTTGGCTCGCGGCAAGGTCAACAAGAAGACGATGGATGATGCTCGTCATCTACTCGAACTCGTCATGTTGCGTCGCATGAAAGACAGCCCCAGCGTCAACCTCGGTCTACCGCCGAAAGAAGAGGTGCTCCTCTACGTCCCGTTGACGCCGATGCAGCGATTTTGGTACACCCGGCTGTTGACACGTGTCGACAAAGGCATGCTGACTGACTTGTTCGCGAATGGAAAAGAGAAGGAGCAGGCGGCTATCGATCAGGACAAGCAAGATGCTGCATTGCTGGAGAAGATGAAGCAACTTGAGACAAGGCCCGACACCATCGGCGACCAGGGCGAGTGGGAAGAGACAGCGCAGATCATGCGTCAAGCTCTTGAGAAAGAGCAGGAGAATAGTGCCGTCACCAACAAGTCTGCGTGGCAAAAGCTCATGAACCTGGTCATGCAATTGCGCAAATGTTGCTCTCACCCTTACCTTCTGCCTGACGTGGCTCCCGATCCTTACTATCTCGGTGAGCATGTTATCCGCGCGTCCGGCAAGTTCATTCTACTCGAAAAACTGCTCAAACACACCATTTTCGAGCAAGGCAAGAAGGTACTCATCTTTTCGGGCTTCACACATACACTGGATTGTTGTGAAGATCTCTTGTCACTCATCAGCAATTATGGCCAGAAGTTCAGGCACCTTCGTCTGGATGGCGGTACTGGACGCGCTCGCCGTAATCTTGACATTCGCCTTTTTAACCAGCCCGGATCGGATTACAAGGTCATGTTACTGTCGACGAGAGCAGGTGGTTTAGGTATCAACCTTACCAGTGCCCAGGATGTGATCTTCCTTGACGAAGACTGGAACCCACAGATCACCCTGCAGGCTGAGGCGCGAGCTCACCGAATCGGACAGACGAAGCCTGTTACGATCTACAAGCTTTGCACGCAAGGTACTGTCGAGGAGCAAATGATGGGACGCATTCGCAAGAAGCTCTACCTCTCGGCGAAGATCACAGAGTCTATGCGCAATATTCACGATGATCAAACGCCAACTAAAAGCAAGGCATCTGTCACAGACGACGTACCACATATGGACTCTACGCAGTTAAAGACGCTCATTCGTCGAGGAACGCAGACCCTCTCACATCCTGAGATTGACGTCACCGAAATGCTCTCGTGGGACCTTCCGACCATGATGGCCAAGTGCCGAGATAAGCCTGCCGATGACTCCAACGCTCCAGACGCACAACACTCTGAAGTGGACGAAGAGAAGTGGCTCTCCGTCATGGAGCGTGTGGAGTGTGCCGTGTTTGACGGGAAGCGCTTCCAGCGTCAGAAGGACGACAAAGGCAATACAGCCGCTGCGAACATCCTTCCTGATGCCATCACTCGCGAAGACCGACGCCGCGGTAAAAACACAACTGTCATGGTCGACGGCTTCGCCATCAGTAAAGAGTCTATGAACTGTGGCGACTGGGAAGCCGTGCCCACCTTTGCCGGCAAAGATCCGCGACTCGCTGATCCGGTGAAGGAGAAGAAACGTGCAATCTTACATGAAGAGCACTGCCTTGCATGCTTCGAAGGTGGAGAGACGGGACACCTGGTCGAGTGCAAGTCCTGCCCTCGCGCATACCACTACGACTGCCTCACTCCTGAATACCAGTCGAAAGTCAAAGGCTTCAGCGGCTTTTACTGTTCTCAACACAACTGCATCGACTGCGGGAAGAACACGACAGACGCCGGTGGCCTCATCTTCAGGTGCAGATGGTGTCCACAAGGTTTTTGCGAAGATTGCTTGGACTGGGACAAGGCTGCGTTGGTTGGTGAAAACCTTCCAGAGTTCGAGCTCATGGGTGAACCCTCCCCGAGTGGCGGTTTCTACATCAAGTGCCCTGACTGCGTTGATGCCTGCGAGAAGAGCAAAAAACAGAAGATCTGGATTCAGAACACTGAGGCAGACTACAAGGACCAGCACGATGCATGGCTGAAGGAGCGCAAGGAGGCTGAGCAGCAGCTCGAGCAGAGTGTAGCTGTCGTTCTCAACGAAGCAAACGCACCTCCCGCTGCTGTCATGAACGACGTCAACACGTTGCAGAACGGTCAGCTTCCCGTTCTTGAGCCACCAGAGCAGCGTGAGGAGCACGTCATCCTCCTCGACAACGAGATTGACTTCCCTTCTCCACCTGCGCTCACCGATACTTCGCTTGCCACCCCTGCGTTAGGCAGCTCTCGAGTCAGCACGCCCAAGCTCGTGGAACCACAACAGCAGAAGAAGATTCCCGCGAAGGCAAAGAGGTATGCGTCTGGTGATGGCTTCAACGAGACACGGTACGAGAAGAAGGCAAGGATCGATGCACAGGCTTGGAGCATTAACGATGATCCACTACTGAGTGGTTTGAGTGGTAGCCCTTAAACATGTTTGCTTGAGAAGTAGAGGATGATTTTAGGGAAAGGGCGTTACCGTATTGGGCGAATGGATATGCTCTCTTCGACGGCTTGTCGTCAGAACGAACATGGCGCATGGATAGAGGCGCATGAGAACGATTTGAGCTTCTTTACTTTCTAGTGGGTTTGCTAGCTCAGCGTAATACAGCAATGACACACATCCACGTAGCCCCGGGATATACATTGACTTCCGTGGTGTTGTTTCCTGAGCTGCGCCTTCTCCGAGCGAGGCTGACACACATTGACAGGGCTTGGCGGCAAGTCAGCAACAGCAACATTCAGAGTGCGATCATCACCGAATCGAGATCACTTCCACCATGCTTCAATATTTGCGCAAAAGGACCAGGCTACCGAGACACTGGATTTTACCTACGATACTCAAATGTCCACGGCTCGAGTGTCGTATCAGCGACCAAACAGGAAACCACAACTGGGATGACCCAACGACCATCAACGTTTGCGCCTAGTTCAACATCAGCGACCCGGATCTCTTTAGAACCTTTACACCGGTACATCCATAGGGCGTCCAGACTTGCAAATGATCCGCAATGCGGTATATACAAGGGCTTGGACGTAAAGGCTTTGTCTATGAGAACAATTTTCTCTAGGCTGTCAGCTCTGTTGCGGTCCGGCTACCCTGCTTGTTACATGCTACACACTGTCTCGCAACCGTGGAGCCAGACTCTAAATAGCCTGTTGACCCCTTGCATCTATCTTCGAAGCTCCGAGCTGGGTCTGAACGTAACTACGTTTTGCAGGCAATTTATTTTTGACATTGTGTTGCAGGATATAAAGGGTGAGTCACGATCGATACCTGCATAAGTTGCATCAAGGCTAAGCTTTCAGGGTATCCTTGTCCATGGACCATTCTACCAGAACAATCCATGGCTCGCAGTAACAACAATGCAGATGCAGCCTGGTTGAGCGCTCACTACATGGACCTTCGTCGCAAACCAAACGCTATATACTCGAAATACGGCGCATGTAAATGTGTCCTGTCGCCGCTTTTCCGCTCAAGAGAAAAACTCCTCCCAGTCCAGCCGGCATCAATCGATCTAGAGCACATCACCTCGAAGAGATAGAAGCCACTCTGTCGCAGCCGTTTTCCATATGCGACGATCTCTCTTCTCCTCTGCCACATGTCACGAACGGTGCCATACTAAGGACTCCTGTACAGACTGCATCTCCTCTGCTCTGCTATTTGACATAACGAAAAGAATTTGGCCGTACAAACTCAATCCTCGTACTCAAGGAGACAATGCTCAAATCGTAGTTAGTGGTGGAACGGGCAGGTTTGAGATGCATGGTGGATACGGACAGCCTGGTGTGGAAGTCACCAGGCTGTCAGGTATGGATTTTTTACAGGTCGCCGAATACCTTGCCACTAATCATTTCAGGTTACAAGTGCCCATGGATGGCAATTCCGGAAAGAGTGCCACCCCCAGGCATATCGGACGCGATCTCTGCCGCTGCTCGGATATCACTTTGATTGGCACTGTGTACGACCTCGGCGCATAGTAACATGGGTACCAATCATTGCAAGCAATCTCAGCATGCAAATCCCTTCCTACTCATGTTTTGGAGCTCGGAGGACCCAGAGACATACGTGTACATATTACAAGCCTTTCGAAGCCGATACGCGCGCCTTATGCTTGCCTAAGCCACTGCTGGGAACCAAAGCATCTTACGGACGACTGCGTCAACACTAAAGAGATATCAAAGGGCTATTCCATGGAAACGATAACCGCGCACGTCCAAGGTCGCAATTGAGATTATGAGGCACCCGTGTCTACAGTATCTCTGGATAGGGAGCCTTTGCATTGTGCAAGATGATGCAAACGACTAGCATCACGAAAGCAGCAAGATAGCAACCATATACTCACACTCATATATTACTTTAGCAATTACTTTAGCAGCAACAAGCTCCCCAGACCCACAAAAAAGCCCACGCCGTAGAGAATATTCGCACTCCAGAACCCAAGCGCTTATACACAAGGATGCACAAGGCCGATGGAACGTCTTCTTCACACGCCCATTACCCGGCCGAGCTGAGACGGAGATGCCCCTCCCGGATAGAGTATTGGTGCTCCAAGAAGGGATGTTGTCTCCTCAGTTTGTTCATTTCGGAGAGACACTGACTCGGGAATGTAATACGCTAAGCGATTAGGACTCAGGCTTCGATCAGCTTGCCCTGTGGTGTGCTCATGAATCCGACCTGCGCCGAGGCGCATAGCAAGACGTTATCGGAAATTGGCTCACCAGAAACGACGCCAAAGGCCAGATGGTACGACAGTGGCATTCTCTTGCATTTGAATACGCTAGTGTGAGCTTGACATATGAAAGCGACATTTCTCCTGCGCTTCAGGGAATCGCGGCGCGTTTCCAAGAGAGTCGACACACTGAATACCTTGCTGGCTTGTGGGCGGATTTTCTGCCACTTGATCTGTTCCGGGCTGTCAAACGAGCAAGCAATGTGTGGTGTCTTTTTAGAGAATGTGCAGACTACCGAGCACCAACTTGGTCTTGGGCATCACGCATTGACGCACAACTTACATGGCTCAACTGGTGGGAACATACGATATTGTAGCATCTGTCATCTCCGCCAAGGCTACACCACTAGGGGACGATCCCACTAGGGGACGATCCCACAGATGAGATTAGTGCTGCCATATTGAAACTCCATGGACCTTGCAAGAAGGTGAAGGTCTCAGATTTGAACGACTGCGTCGGAGAAGCCGATGCTAACTCAGGTTTGTATCCCAGTGGTTGATTCAGAGGAGAGGAAGAACTTGTGTTAATGGCCATCTTCGACCGTGACGACAACTTGGAAAAGAACATCGGCAAACGAACTCTCGAGGAAAAGCATTGTCTGATCCTGCGAATTATTGACGAAGACTAGCGCACGTACGCACGAGTCGGGGTAGCGGTATGGCAATCAGACTGGAGAGATGAGCAGTCGGTGCGTTGGCTGTTCATCACAAGTATGCAGAAAGCCTCTCTATAAGGCGTGTTATTATTCCACAGCGACAGCCTACATCAGGCTCACATGGCTGGACTCGCCACAAGCAGACGACCTTTGTCATACAACACATCACGTCAATGCTCTCCACTTCCTCACCGCACAACCTCCACCCATTCGACTCCCTGTTTTGACACTTCCGCACATACCCTCGCGTATAATCGGCGTAACGCAAAGAGAGTTCACTAATGTAGCTCAGTGCGACCGATCATGCCATTATCTGGTGAGCTTTAGGAAGGCGAAAGTGGAAGATCGTACGAGCGACGCACTTCTGCGCTGGCCGTCTGTGGAAGGCTGCTGCCGCAGGGCAGTGGAGAAAGCGGTGCGCGGTAAGAGCGGTGGAGAGGGTATGTGGGCGAACGCAGGCGTGTGTAGCACTGCGTCAAATAGAGTTCAGCTGGCTGCGCGTAACATATCAGCAAACAACATTACCAGAAAAAAAAAAGAATCAGCACTGTGGCTGTCTAGAAGAGGTGAGCTGATCGGGAAATCTGATCGTGTACGATCCTAAGATTTTCAAGATCTTCATGAATTCGATTAAATTCTCCGCAACCCAGCAGATTGGAATGGCAGTTCTTGTGCCCCGTGTACGCGAGCTTGTCGCGGGCGGACAGCATGGACAGGGTGGGAGGGGATATGCAGGTAAGCGAGGAATGTGGAGAAACGTGCAACGTTGACTTGCGTGTGCATGCCTGTGGTGGCACGCTGGGCAGCGCTCGGGTGTGACAGGCGGATGGTACAAGGGCGTTGGCGATGCCCAACGTCAGGTCACTGGGTGGTGGCGTGATGTGCTTTGCGTGCGGTGATGGGAATCAAGGATGGGAAGCGGGAATGCTGGTTGTTTCGGTGGGCAATTGGCAGAGTATCTGAGGTCAGTGGATGCAGTGTGCAGGTAGTAGGAGAAGTATATGCTCGGAGAGGACTGCTGCATGGCAGCAGCGTAAGAATAGTTCATTGTAAGATGAATGGGATGATGCCGCTTGGGCGACGTCGCAAGCTCGACGGTTCATCTATCCACAGCAGAAAGTTATCAACAACAAGTCGTAAGGTTTGCGGAAACAACAAATCAAACATGCTCAGGTTCAGAGGTGAGAGGGTCATCGTCGACATGCAGAGCTCTGAGCTTGGCTTCAACAGCAGCAACAACAGCAGGATCGAATGACTCTTCGTGTCTGGGCTTTTTGACACTAAGATGAGTTAGCGATGCTATCGATGTGATGTCTAGGTGGACTTACGGAGACCGATTACAACGATCACAACGCTCATGTCCACACCCGGGACACTGGGGTGAGCCTTGCCGGAACAAGCTGTGACACTGCTCGCACTCCCAGCGTACTATGCGCCTCGGCTTCTTCCAGATACGGCGAAACTGATCCAGCTGCTTCTGCTGTTCCAACTCGTCGTCGCTTTCAGCCTCGGCATCTCCAGGGTAGCCAGTGGGCCACTTGTTGCGTTTGGCAGGCTCTCGTGGGCACTTTGTGCATCTAACGTGGTTGCATGACCCACAGGTGGTGGCCATGGGAGGAACGAACAAGGCCTCGCACTTATGGCAGGTGCGCCTGATTCGCTGCGTCGCAGGCTGATATGCAAGCTCGTTGCCAGACCTGGTGGTGACAGTCAAGACCTTCTTCTTCTTGGGCTGCTCAACAACCTCTTTCTCCTTGCCCTTCTCGCCGGGCGTCTTCTTCTTGGGGTATCTGGGGCACTTCTTGCAGCGCTTGTGCTCGCACTGCACGCACATCTTCTCATGCCCATAGAGGGTACCGCAGCGGTGGCAGCTTCGGTGCACGCGCATACGGATGGCCTTCTCGACGCGAGGCACCAATGGAGCAGGAGCAGATGCAGAAAACCACTCATGGGACTCGAGAGTCAGTCCATATTTGGCGAAGAGTGCGCGGGCACGCTCCTGCTGCATGGCGTTGCGGTCGAGGACTGGAGTGAACTCGATGGGAGCGGGTGCGGGAGCTTGGACGCTGGTGGTGGGAGTGAGGTCATGGGCAGCAGCAGGACTGAGATATATAGGATCAGCAGTGAACCTTGAACATATGATCTGGGATCGACTCACGCAGCGGCAGGCTCCTCTGTGGGTTGTTCGTGTCTGATCGACGCAGCCTTGGCGGGCTCTTGCGCAACTTCCTGAGTCGCAACATCTTCCGTGGCGACCTCTTCCCGCGGAACCTCAACTTGGGGTTGTTGCTGTCCAAGCTCAGGCGCAACAGGCGCAGCAGCAGCACTCGATGGCTGCGGCACACTCTTGCTCGACCTCTCCCTCTTGAAGACGCTGCTCATACGCTTCACATATTTACCCAGGCTCTTACGGTGCTGCCCATCGTGCGGTCCAGCGGCTGGCGGCGTCGACATGGTTGCAAAAGGTCTCCAGTGCAGTCAACGATCAAGCAACTATGCGACGTGATTGGCGAAGCAGACGGATCCAAATTCATGAACACGATGTGTTGGTTTGGTGGTCAGCATGCATTGACAGAATTCCTGGAGACCGGTCCTTGGGTCTGAGACAGCGAACGTAGCCTCGGAACGACCGAGAGTGTGGGTTTGGGCGCTGGTCCAATACGAGCTCCTCCAACAACAAAGATTCCACCTCGAGAAGGGCAGTCAGCTTGTCGCAACAACAGAACGGTACCGTCGACGGCCGTCCAGCGAACTTCAGCGATTATGGGCGGGGGCGAGCCAGCAGCGGCAGAGGGTCAGTTATGTACGGGCACCACGGGCGGAGGGTGCCAAAGTAGACTAGGAAGCGGCTTTCCAGCCCGCTGGTATCGATTCGACCCCGAACTGTGCACAAGCTTCGTTAGCAAAGACAGCGCTGCCCCGTTCGCTGCCAGGTGGGCCGAAATGCACGTTGGGGGAGATGCCTGCCACATCCTGCCAGTCCTTTCAACGCGCCGGCATGTTCCCCGGCTAAAGCAGGCGACAGGGGACCGTGTCAGACCGTGTCGCGCGCTCCATGTGACGCAGACACGACAGCAGCGAACCAGCCAGTCGTGCACGCGAAGGCTGCATGCAGACAGCTTCTGCAAAGTCTTGCCCAAGGAAGTTTGGGCCTCGGCCTCTGCCACGGGAGAGCAGCGGAGCAGTGCCCTGATACAACAAAGTGCGTGCCATTCCCGTGGGCAGTAGCCTGAACAAGGTGTTTCCCGCGCCCGCGGAGCCAATCCGCTCCAGCGTTTGGTGGAGAACTTTCGGGATCTCCATATCCAGGACTTGACAAATTTACAGTTCGAGCAGAGGCAGAGCTTTCTGAGTCGTGCTGCTTTCAGGCTGCGGTCCTCTGTTCTCTGTGTTCAACGCAGCATTCCGCAAGAAAATTGTTGAACGCACAAGCTGCAAAGCTCCTGCCGCGCCTGGCTACAGATCCACCTCTCCATATTGACTTCGTCTGCAGCGCGCCAAACGGCTAATGCACTGCACACCACACCCATCATCACGCCACCACTCACGTCGCACGACGCTGCTTCTACGAAGTGGCCCAGCTCCCACGCTCGGGTGCTTGAAGTACTGTACTCTGGATTCAAGTTGGAAAGCCGTTTGATGATGATGCAGGTCCTCCGTACCCCAGCTCACGGCGACAGAGATCCAACTTTCCCGGTGACCTGGGCTTGGTGAACGCACGCGCCTCTCGCTCCAGTTCCACCCCCTGATTCGACAGCCTCAACATTCTCGCATAGCCTTTATCCGTCAATCTTCCCAGCGGAACACGTAGAGCTGCAGCGTGAAGCCACTGCACTGCCATCTAGGTCTTCCAGTACGAACAACGGTTGCAGTGGCAACGTTATTGATGTTGTTGTTGTTACCCATGGTCGATCTTTCGTTGACAGGATGCACCAGGTACACCCGCCGTGCACAAATGCGGCTTGCGGCTCATCACACAGCAACCCACGATACAGGTGCCGGTACAGCCTGAATGAACAAGACATGCCCAAGTATCGCACGGTACTGTTGCAACGCTTCAATGCGACATTGTCTGTGAGCGCAAGTCTGGACCGAGTAGTCTCCAGCACGCAGCCGCTCTTTAATATGGAACGTCGGGGCTATTGCTCCTGCGCGTCTCTCAGCGACTACACAGCATCCGCCCGTCGAACGCTGCGACATGAATATCCTGAAAGCATGAGCATCCGGCCGCACCTCTGGACCCGGTAACAATCACCGCTATACGGGTTCAGGTACCATGCGGCCTCCGATACACACTCCAACCAGCTGGTCGGGCTCCACCCTCTGTTCGACCTCATGCGAGCAAAAGCTACAATTACGCGCGTCGCGCGGCACGTCAGCCTCGCCTCGCTTTCTTTCTTAATTGACGCTGTTATCACTTCGAACGACGGCTTTGGACCCACCCGCGACCTGTTCAAGCTGTATCCCACTCCTCAAATTCAGCAACGCTGAGTATGCAGATGGCTTTGTAGTCCTCGTTTGGCAACTGTCAACGATGGATCAAGAGCTGAATCGACTCCCGGCGGGAACATCAAACCAGCTCCCTGCTCCGATCAAACGAAACGCATCCCCGCAACGGTCGCGAGTCATTTCTCCCCTAACATCCAGAACCTGTTTGCTCACATCAGCAATTACGTCTTACGACCAATCGACTTTCGGACATTAGCAGAGCGCATTCGCCACTCCCAGTCCTTACCCTACCTGATATGCAATCGTTGCAACCTTCACATGTACCTGGTACATCAGGATACCAGGTTCAAGCAACAGTGTCATCCCAGCTGCCCAACCCGGCGCCAAGGAGCTCGCCGTCCGTACGGTCCGAGCAGAGCGCTCATGCCACATTCGCGTAGGCCACTCCGCCTCGTCCCGCCTTCAAGGGGTCCAACATGGAACAGGAAACAAGCAACTCGTCCCGCTCATCACCAGGTGTAGTATCTACACCATGCAGATCACTAAGTGGATACCTAAAAACGGTGTTACTCAGGCCTGCCCATCTTGGAACTGCCGAGCATCAGGCCATTTTTACCGCATCCCGCAATAGAAGGCCCAATATAGACGGTTTTGCGGCTGTTTGAGGATCGATATCCGCGAATCCGATGCTCGGTAATGGAGTTCGCAGCAGCTTCTCGATACATCGGTGTACCTGCCGCGCTCCTCGGCCTTGTTTTGGGCGCCGCTGCAGAGCCGTTGAACATGGATTCTCGGCATCCTGTTGAAGCCGAACTGGGATCGGCGACTTTGCGCCGATGAGGCGACGACATTGGGCTTAGAGGCAAGAAGGTACGCGTGGTGTCTGCGGTCGTTGAGGAAGGTGAGTTCAGTTTGGCATCGAGTATTGGTAACTCACTATAAGTGGCGAGAAGATTCTCCTTCCCTGAGCCTCCATGTTCGAACGCGGATTGAGGCATGTCGGCATTGCTGAAGTATGGCTCTTGCCGCTGGCCTCTAGTCACCTTCCTATTCCTCTGATTTTTTTTCTCCTCCTCGAATTTCACTTTCAGTTTCTTCGCCCATCGTGTAGGTCATGTTCAGCGCTGATGAGCCGCTGGGACGTCCCTTTCTATTCTCTGATCTCCGTTGCTTTCATAATCCCGCTTTTGCTCTGTGTGTTTCATCAACATGTTCTGACGCCGTACTCGCCCTGGACAAAGTCGGCATGTCGTGCACAGCGGGCGACCTGTCACTGGCGCTGTCACCTGTCAAAATGACGATCATATGCAGCACGGTTGAGGCGCTGCGCACTAAGCAACTCGAGACGGGAACTGGTTCTTTATTGCGCTGATCTGCGCGACCGTTGAGTGTCCGGCGGCCCAGTGCCCTTGGTAGAGTGACGGGTGGAAGGGGTCTGTTGGGGCGTAATGTAAGAGTTGCGTCACGGGGCCAACAAAGAGAACTCGATGCAGCCGGACTCTGACTACGGGTGTTTGTTGGCAACCGAGAGACAAACAAGCTGGCTACACGTAGATCCGAGGGTTGCGCGCACTGACATATTCAGGCAGTCCTGAGGTCCTAAAAGCTTGCTCAACGCTGCCGACTATTGTTACCTGTAGGAATACGCCCTCAAGAACGGCAATGAGGTATGACGTCCTGGCCAGAGGTGCACACGAAAATGTGAAGCGTGGGATGTAGGGAGAGTTATTGTTGACAGGTGCGACGAGGCTGGGGTTGTTGGACCCTGCGCCAGGTCTCGTGACGCGCGCCCAAAGCGAACAGGAAGGGCGCAGCACAAGCAAGTCGAAGAAGAAACCGCCAGCTTGATCAATTGGTGTCTTGATTTACATTGCACATTCGTGCTCATAATCACATACGTAAGCTTACATGAGGTATGCCCTCTATACAACAACAACAACAACAACAACAACAACTCCCATTTTCAGTGCCAATGCCCAAACACACCCATATACACCCAATACACCCAATACACCATACAATGCAACACCCAAGGCCAGACGCAGAGGCCAACCCAAGCCAGCCCGCTACTGTGCCTGGCTAGGCAAAACCTTGGAAACACGCTTCTTCATCACCCCCCCCCCCCCCCCCGCTTCCTCCCCCGCTTCTCCCCCTCCTTCCGCTGCCTGCCTCTCAAGGTACTACTCTCAGGTCTTTGAGCTCTCCACAGCGCCAGTCTCCACCAATTCTGATTGACCTCGCCGCCCCATAGCATCGTCGGGAACCATGCTAAGTGGTTGTATCTGCGGATCTTGGGGGTCGCTTGGATGGTAGCTAGCTCAGGCTGGGGGCGGTAAAATTCGCGGTCTGCATCGCCGCGCAGAGCTGGAGAAAGTCATGAGAAGAAGTACTTGGATTCGCGGAGGCGAGCTACGTCCCAGTCGCCCTTCTTAGGGACAGGCGGAAAGGTGAGAGGGAGCCAGACTTGGACTGTGCTCATTTCGCCGAGCCATTTTGCTACTCGCTTTGGCTTTCGGTCGGCGGAAAGCTGCTCAGCAGTGGCGGTTTCAGGGACGGGGCCGGATTCGGGGTCCTCGGACTTCATGATTGCCTCTTCGAGGGCCTTGCTGTTCTCCATGATCTCGTCGAACTTGGAATGCTCGACGTTCTTGGTCTTTGTCTCGGTGTCACCGAGAAGCGACAGACGGAAGGAAGCGAGACTCGTAGCATCCTTGTACTCCAGCCAGATGCTAGTAGGCGTCTCCATAGCCTCACCCTTCGCTCTAAGCTCGGGATCCTCGCTCTTGAGCAACTCCTGTCTCTGAGCTTCGAGCGCGACCTCGTCGAATGAGGCAATGCCGTGCTTCGTTCCGATGCCATCAGTGGCTGTTGTCTTGCTAGACTTGTTTGCAACTCGCCACTTCGAGATCCTCTTTCCCACTTCGGTGGTGGCGTGTACGTTGGCGCGGTACATATTCTCGGCGTAACGAGCACCGAACTCTGCCGCAAGACGGCTGGTAATGTCCTCTGAGTGCATGCGTACAAAGGCGTCACGGAGGATGGTGTTGAGATTCGGAATGTCGCAAGCGTGTGTCCAGAAGCTGTCGTGTACAGCAGCAAAGTCAAGGCCCATCTCGTTGCACTTGAGTGCGGAAAGGAGCATGTGCGAAGCGTCGAGAGAGTGGATGAAGTTTGGTGGGAAGGCTTGCAGCTGCTTCCGCTTGTCGACAATGTCGCCCGCGGCACGCTTCTGGATGGTGATGTCCTGGAGTGGCGTCTTGATCTTTTGCTGGGAGTCCTTCCTGTAGGGCTGCACGATAGGCATCTTGAGCGGCGTGGTCCAGATGATGCCGGTCTTGAAGTTTTCAATGGCCTTGACCAGCTGTTTTGCACCGGATTTCGAGATCTTGTCCGATTTGTACTTTGCCTCCGTGCGAGGTGTCTTGCCCTCAAATCGGCTTTGGATCTGCTTGATCTGCTCGGCAGTGATCGAAGTCGTGATACGATCTCCGCACTCTCCAAGCCAGTACTGAATCTCCTGGGCGCCGTTGAAGATCTTTCCGAGTGCCTCGAAGATCTTGTAGGCGACGTACATAGCCACCGCTTGCAGCGAACGCAGCTCCTTGGTCTCCTTGAAGTTGGGAAAGATGTGCTTCAGTTCATCGTGGACTTGCGCCTTCGCGCCCATGAAGGTGACACCGTAGACGTTCGTCATGACCGTGCGCTTGACAACCTTCCTGGAGATGTGACCCCTGACGAACTTGGCAGCGGCATTGCCCTGCTCGGCTTCCACTTCCACCATCTCTTTCACCAGGTCCGCCACACCGGTGTAGATGTCCTGGGGCCGATCAGAAGGCTCGAGGTTGACCTGGCGGGCACCTGCCTCATCTCCTCCCAACGCAGCATAATGCTGAAGACCGTTGCACGTACCGTCCTGGTGTACGGGCAGACGTGAGACATGGCGTGTGGGATCGGGCAGGTCGAAAGCGCTCTTGAGCTCCATGCAGCATGCAAGACACTGCCATGGGTCTTCAGCCTTGGTCCACCAGCGTCGTCCACCTAGTGGATTCGTAGCGGAGTCGACAATGTCGTTCATGTTGTCCATGGCAAACTGCTCGCGCTCTCGAAGACTAGCCTTGTCGAAGCCAGCAAGGTTGGCGAGATGTACCTTGAGCCATTGCAACCCAACCGAACCAAGCTCCTTGCCGTTTGCGAACCTGAGCAGGCCTCTGGCAACATCGGATCCAATGTGGTTGAGGATGGGTGGAATGGGGTATGCTCGGCCACGGAAGTCAACGCTGTGGGGGAAGTAGAGTTCTTTCTCGTTAGCCATTGCGCTTGCGACCTCCAGCTGGAAGTTTTGGAAACATCGCTGCGAGTGGAAACCGCCCTTGGTGTTCTCGTACTCCTTCAGCTTCTTGCCCCATGCGGCCCGCTCCTGGTAATTCGCATCAGCAGGTGGTTCCGCCGGACGCTCAAGCGGAACATGCTCTGGAACAAGGCCTGCGAGGCCCTCGCCAGAGTTCCACACCTCGGCCATGACATCGAAGACCGGCTTGTTGATTTGCCAGGGCACTTTTCCCAGAACATCGAGTCCGGCGAGGACTTGGTTCATGTCGTTGTTGTCGATCGCAGTCGAGGCGTAAGCTCGTTGGGACGTATCACCGGACTTTTGGCGTACGACCTTGGACTGCAACGTGTAGTAGCCGCCGTTATCGAAGCTCGACCACGGTTTCGGCGGGACGACCATGGGGAGTCTGACGCTCACAATGTTGTGAACTGGTTCGTTGCGGAGCTTGGCCAGGATCTCGTGGTGGGGTACAATCCAGCCGACCTTTTTGCCCTGGTGCAAGACCATCTGGTGGTGGAAGGCAGCTTGCGTGCTAGTCAACTGCTTGCCAGTCTTTGGATCCTCTGCGGTGACGGTGATTCTTGCGGCCTGCAGCACGTATTCGAGCGCGAGCGCGCCAATCTTGATGCGAGCGGTCAGAGGGATCTCCGTCCTCACGAAGGGAGCCTCGACTGGTTTAGTAGGCCTCTCGATCTTCTCTGTCGAGCCGGTGTGTGTCTTGGCTAGCTTCTCGACAAGCTGCTTGCGGGCGTGTCTGCGCTGCGTCTTGAGGAACTTTTCGTGTCGGACCTGGGCGTCCATGTTGAGGTGTTCCATGACATCGTTACCGATGGACATGGACAACGCTGCGAGCTTGAGGTTATCGCTCTCGTTTCCCTTGACCTGAACGCAGGCGTTGATGACGCGCGTGATTGCGTTCGCAGCGAGGCGCTCCGGCGTGCATCTCTCGAGCCAAGTTCCGTAGGTATGGGCATCGTCGCCCGAATTTTCCTTGGTTGGGTTGCTGACGGTTTCCTTTGCGTGCTCGATCTGCTTCTTGAACATGGGCACCAGGGCCGTGTACCAGTTGTACATCAGAGCCTGGAGACTCTTGGTCCTCAGGACCCCGTGGATGCCCATCTCGGTCAGCTTCTCGTCCTCCTTCCTCCAGCGCTCTACGGCGGCCTGCATGCCGTCCTTCTCCATGCGCAGTTGGCGAGCGTATGCGTACGCGCGGTCCTTCTCTGCCTGGGTGCCCTGCATGTCGTGGGGGTAGGGAATGCTCTCGGATTCGTCGAAGACGGCAAGGGCCTGCTTCAGCGTCGACAGACCCAGGCCCTTTTGCTCAACGGGCTTGATCAGCGTCGCTTGCGGCGGCAGACCCTGCTCCATGGCCGACTTGAATGCACCCGGAGTGTTGAACTGCAGCTCGTGGAGCGTCTCGACGGCCGGGGGTTCGTCGAAGCTGTCAGGCTGGAGGCGGATGACCGTGTTCCACTCTTCGTCGGTGAAGTCGGGCGATGTGTTGACCTGTTCGATGACGTCTGGACCGCACTCGTTGGCCATGTCGAGGTATTCGCGGATGACCTTCTCCTGCTTGTCGCCCTCGAGCAGGGTGACGGCGGCGCGCAGCAGGGTGACGAACGTCTGCGCGTTGGGCTCGATGAGCTTGGCGACCATGTTCTTGTTGTACCAGGACTCGATGCTCTCCATCGAGTCGGCCCTGGGGTCTTCTTGCGCGAGCTCGAAGAGCGTCTGCAGGAAGATGTTGTGCGCGTCGCTCATCTCGGGCGCCGAGGGCGAGTAGATCATGGAAAGACGGCGGAGGATGAGGGCGGCGCGGTCTGTGCGTCCGACGCGCAGACAGGCGTAGAGGTTCTGATGCATCTCAATAGGGTCGCCGCTGATGCCCTGTCCGATGCTGCGGGCCATGGGCGCATTGTGGGCGTACTGGTCGTTGACGAGGAGCGGGCTCGATGTGTCCCAAGACTTCAGGCGGGCGAGGTCGGGCGAGGGCACGCGGGGGCCCCATGCCTGCATGAAGCCATCGAACGGTGTTGCGTGCGGGCGAGGGTGCAGTTCGGCGGACGTGGCGAGCGAGCGCGTCCTGTGCCGGGTGGACAGCGACCGTCTCCGCTGCCGTCGCGAGTCTTGTGTGGCGGCGGTGATGGGGCCGACGCTCGATGTGTGTCGGAGCTGCGCAGGACACAGCCATGGCAGCGTCAATGGATCCGACAGCTGTGTGGGCGAGCGGAATGCACCTCTGCGCACTTTCCGCGTCGCTGCTCGCGCGAGCATCATGGTGGCCGTCTACGCGGGTATTAAACGTAAGGAAGAAACAAGAACAGGAGGCCGCAATGCAGTGACGAGGAGCGTAGAGGGAGTCGCACTCGTGAGGCCGGGCTGGAGGCGAAACTCCGCGTCGTCAATGTCTCTCCGAGTGCTCGAGGCAAATTGTTCGACCTCATCGCCATGCTAGGGGCCTTGCAGTAGCCGCGCACGGCCCTTTTTCTTCACCGTCCTGAAAGCCCTGGAAAGCCCGGGAAGGCGTTCGCCACGATTGGACACCGAGGCATGCAATGCAGCCTTGTGGGCCTGGTCGTGTGAGCCAGTGCTTTGCGTCTTGCACACCGTGTTGCGACAATGTCGTCGTCGCCTCTTCCATCGCATCACTGGAGCGGGCGAGGGGTTGCGTCGTCATGGCGGAAAAGGGCTCCCGGGAGTCACCGGTCCTGCCTGAAGCATGGTGGCCAGATTCGCAGAGCGAGCATGCACGCGCAGCACTGGGCTTCGTCGCACTGGGGACAGTCTACACGAAAACTGCGTGAGCACCTCGAGCTGCACAGTACCATCATTGCTAAGCACATGGCGATTGCAGATGGCCATGCTGCACTGCATGCACGTCTTTCTTCGGCGGATGCATTCTCTATCTGGGGCGCTGAAGAGCCTCTTGCGTCGCAGCCATGGCCAGACACAGCCGTTGTCGACCCTCCAGTGTTCACAACAACGCCTGGAGGGAGCACCCTGGCGATTACTAAGCAGTCGTTCAGCGCAACCCCCGAACAACTGGCATCGACCACGTTGTGCGTGAGTCCTCCCGTGTTGCAATACGACTTCAACAGGCACGTGATGCCGATTATGCAAACTTTCAGGCATGGTCTTCATGCTGCAGTCGTTGCATGTACTCAACATTGTGTGTTTATGCGACTCGTGCTCATGCGACTCGTGCTCATGCGACTCGTGCTCATGATTCCGCTTTCGTGGCAGGCATTGCAGTAGCCGTCCCGTCTCCCACCACCCTCGTGCTCGACACCGCCAGCACTGTACGCGTACTCGTCGTCCCCTCCTTCTTCTCCCCCGCAAGCGCCCAATCGTCCTCCCACTCCCCCTCCTCATCCCCAAAGCAGAACAAATCCGCCGCACTCCCCACATACACCTTCCTCCTCTTCCCCTTCGGCACCGTACACCCACCCACCTCCTCTCTAAACGTATTCGCATACTTGGCCGCCACCACCGCCACACTGCTGGGATCCATCTTCGCGCCGTTGAAGAGGAGCTGCGGCATGTGCTCCGTTTCGGGGAGGTCGCCGTCGAAGGGGAGTATCTTGTGGAGTGGCTGGGAGTGCGGGACGAGCGGGTGTTCGGGGTTCTTTGGTGGTGGTGGTGGGGGTGAGACGGCGCGGAGGAAGGGTTCGTTGAGCGCCTCGGGAGCGGGCGGGGTGTCTTTTGTGCCGGCTTCTGGATCTGGTGCGTATTCTTCTGGCGCGCGGTAGAGTTCGTTGTGGATGGCGACGAGGGCGGAGGGGGATGTGGTTGCTGGGTAGAGCAGGAAATATCCTCGTGCGCGCATGACTTCCAGCATGTACTCTGTCCAGGAGGGCAGGGTTTCTGAGACGAGCTTCGGCCTTGATACGGTCTTCGGGCTCTTCTGGTGCTTTGAGACGCGGTTGCCGAGGAAAGAGTGGAGTTCTGCCCACTTGTCGCCGAAGAAGAGCGTGGCGTGGCTGTTGGGTGCTTGCATCATGAATGGCACACTGGCTGTGCTGGCGTACAACTTCTTGTATCGCTCGGCGTGCATGTCGCTGATTGTGGGCGGCGCGAGCTTGGTCTTGCCGTCTACCAAGAGGGACGGTAGTTCCAGGCTGACGCCCATGACGTTGTCGATGCCGTCCGCTGCAAACGACGAGTAGCGGTATTCCAAGAGCAGGTAGCTGATGTAATGGAAGTACTGTGGTGACAGCTGCGCTTGTGGCGAGAGCAGCAAGACGTGCGAGTTGTCGACGTTGTTGGGGTAGAAGAGCTCGAGGAATCGTATCGCGGCGTCCTCTTGGGTCGCTCGATGGTTCGCGATGCGCCGCCGCAGCACAAGCCGGTTGCCCGCCAGAGGATGCGTCTTGTGCGGAGGCCATTGGAAGTTCTCTAAGCTCTGCTCTACCGTCGGATCCAGATCAGTCGGTAGCTCGAGGGTGATGCGAGGCAGCGCAAGCCCGCTGTAGTCTGCTTGCTTGATCGACTTGAGCAGATGAAGCACGCTGGACGAGTCTGGCGGCACCTGCACCAGTATGTCTATTGTTGGAAGATGCCAACTCTTCAGTGACCCCGCATCGAGTCGTGTCATCCACATGTAGTCCTCCCACTTGTCCCTGGGCACCTCTATGAGCGGCATGCCCAGCGTCTCAGTCTTGTTGCGTATACCCTTCACAAAGAACGCATCCTCTGACAGCGCATCATCCATAATAGCAACCTGCGGGTGCAGGAAGCTCTGGATATGCGTCAGGGCAGACTGGACGCTCAGCTCAGCGCGCTCATCTGTGCTGTACTCTGTGTAGTCTGGCCGCGCATCATGCCATATCGCTAGGCACTTCTTCCTGTCAATGCCATTGATGTCCAAAACATCCTCCAACGGTATGTCTTCCCTGCCCAGAAACGCTGCATGAACCCAGTTCCTATTCCACTTCGACATCTCGCAGATCAAGGGCAACATTGTGGATGCGCTCTGCAAGCTCGACACAGCAAACAGCACATTGCGATTTATCTTGCGATAGCCGTCCGTGTGCGCAGCGCCGCGCAGACTTTTGGCGAGTCGGTAGAACTTGAACATACCATCGAACGTATGCGGCGCCGCTTCTCCACGCCTCGGCGCTCGCATGCCCGGCGGCGGGCCCGTAGGTTCCTTGGCCTCCCAACTGTGCGGCCCTTCATCGTACGCAGGGCCTCGGCTCGGCTTGACGTACGCAAACGGATTATGGTGGCTCGTCTTCGATCCGTCGGGTCTCTCTGCGCGCATGTCTGGCATGTAATGCAGCACCACAGAGACAAGACAGAACCCCAGCACGAACAACAGCACCCGTTTCCGCCGCCATCGAGGCGCGTGGGTCCAGCCTATCCCCCCGTTGCGTCGCCGCGCGGGCTTGAAGTTGTGGTCGTCGTCCTTCTTGCCCAGCTCTTCGTCGGTCGGGAGCATCGTCTTGCCCAGCATGCTGCCCCGGATCACGCCCTCCTGTACCCACCCGCTGTTCTTGCTTTTTATTACCATGCGCGCAGCATTTCAGATGTTGCAGACTGTAAGAGTGGCACGAGCGGAGAGACTGTTCGGCACACAACACGTGCAAGGGAGCTATGGGCGCATTCGAGGGAGAGCTCCGAGCTCGAGGAGCGGTAGATGCAGTGGAGTATGGGTGGCGTCACCACCTTGCGTGCTGTATTTCAGATGTCGAGAGTGTGAGAAGATGTCTCAAGCAATCTCGGAAGCCAGCCAGCTATCAACATCAAAGAGGACATGTTGATATTGCGATAGCCGCTCCCAAGTGCACGGTCGGGGAAACATCCTTGCGACATTGCCAAGTCCGCTCGGCTGTGGCTGCCGCGTTTCATCCATCGTTCGCCTGCGAAACATCATCACCACTCTCAACATGGCATTTGGAAACGTGCGATAAACTTGTTCTGCTTTTGATCTTGTTTTGAAGAGCCTCGTTGTGCTTGACAGGAAATTTCAATCACGACTCAGCGCATCAGGATGCTCATTTCTCGGCCAACCGCTCATCAGCCTCCTTCAACGCCTGCCTCAACGCCCTCTCGTTCCTAGGCACAAACTTGACCTTGTAGTGTCTGCACATGCACACCAAGCTCGTTGGATCCGCGCTTCCCCTCACAGGATGCGTATCGACTTCCGAGTCCTTCACAATCTCGAAGCTGTTCAGCATGCGCAAGAAGACAAGGTACAGCTCACGGTTCGCAAGCAGCGAGCCAGCGCACATGCGGTATCCGAGGCCGTAGGTAAAGAGTGGCGCGTCGGGTTGCTCGAGCCACTGGGAAGTGTCAGTGTGTGGTAAGAAGTTTGGGGTGAGTGAGATGAAACTTACCCGCTCGGGGCGGAAGGTCTCGGGGTCGGACCAGACGTCAGGATCTGTAAGGGTCAGTACGTGGTAAGAAGTCTGGGGTGAGTGAGATGAGACTTACCCATGTTGCACGCCCACGCATTGAGGTAGATCGTGCTTCCAGCCGGAATCAGCTTGCCCTCGTAGATCACATCTTTGACCGTCGCACGGGGGAGCGCAAGACGAAGTACCGTGTAGAATCGCAGACACTCCCTAACGAGCGCGACAATGTACGCACACTTTTGGTCATCGTACGCATCGGCCAGCGGCTGCTCGTCCGAGTAGAGCTTGCGGATCTCTTCAACAGCCTTGTTCTGGATATCCGGACGCTGCGCTAGGAGTGCGACACTCCACTGCACGAGCGTGGTGATCGTGTCCAGACCGCCGGAGAGCATGGTCAAGCTGATCGAGGTGAGCTCCTCTTTGTTGAGCGCAGCTTCTTTGTCCTGGATGATGTTGGCTTGGATACACGGCTTGTGCGTTCCCTTCTCCATGCGGTCGTCAAGGTCCTTGTTTAATCGGTTCAAGTAAGCATCGCGCCTGAAGCGGTACTCCTTCGCCATCTTCGTGCCGCTACTGAAGGGGTTCAGCCTCAAAATTGGCATGTAGTCCTGCAGATTGCCAGTTGTGGATCTGAACTTGCTGATTGCGGCCTCGACTTCCGTGATCTCATGAAACATTGGATCTTCGCGGCTGCCCATACGTGTTCCCCAGTTAAGCGTCAGACTCAAGGATAAAGAGAGACGCTCAATCATCGGCATGGGGTCAACACCGACGGTGCCTGCACGGCCAGACTGAAAACCATCCTTGATGAAATCCTTCGTCTCCAAATCCAAGTGGTCAATGTACGTCGCAATACTCGGCTTGTTCAACGCACTTGCAGCGCCCTTTCTCCTCCTCTTCAAGCTATCGTTGAACGGACTTGTACCAATTGTCGTACCTGCGGTATTTGACAACACCTTATGGAACGTCCAAAACACGGGCCTTGAGCTCAATGCCTGACTATTGCCGCCAAAGATCTTGCGCGCCGCTTCAGCACTGTTCACGACCACGACGGGCTCGTTGCCGAGCTGGATCTGGTAGACTGCGCCATATTGCTTGGACCATTCGCGGTATCTGTCTGCAGCGTTGTACTTGATGTCTGGGATGTTGCCGACGAGAGGCCAGTTCTTCGGGCCTGAGAAGCCTTTGAGGCGCCGTGTGTAGCGGACATACTCATTTGCGATAAGGTATGTGATGGGTGTGAGGAGGACAAGAACTAGGATTGAACGGACGGGGTGATTGGCGAATTGCTCGGAGACGAGGGGCACGATCGTGGAGATCATCTTGGCCTGCTTGCCCTTTGGTTATGCAACTCTTGTCAGGTATAGTAGAGGTAAAGTGTGCCAGTGAGGAGGCACCAGTTCCTTATAGTTCAAAGCTCTTCGGAACTGCATCCAATTGCAACAGCCCAGATCTCAGATTTGGCTGCACGGAACCGCGCACCGGCACCGTCATTGTGCTCCTCCGCACTCAGAACGACCCCAGACAGCATCGCGATTATTGCGGGGAAGAAGGTTGGGTGCGGAATTGAGGACGCGTCGCGGAACAGAGGAGCAGCCTCACGCGAGGGTTGGCTTTGAGCAACCTGTGATTGGCCGCGCTTGTTGCTGTGGAAGACGCGTTCCGTTTCCGGGCACGTGCAGGTCAACCTCATCTCTCGTTGAAGGTCGATGAACTTTGCAACCAACATCGCCATTCTGGTGCGGAATGCCACAGCAATGCAGGTGTTTCACTACGATCGCAATGACTTTGCCAAGGGTCTTCATTCAGATGGCCACATTCACAGACACAGTCCTTCACGACACACCTCAGGATATTTCGTAGCGTCTGCTAGTTTGCTGCAAGAAGATGAAAGCAAATATGGATTGCAGATGAACTGGTGTATGCGCACAAAGAATAGTCATTTGGGGTAAATGTAGACTGTCTGTATGGGTCGTGCGAATACGATAGGATGTCGATCACAGGTTTCCACTATATGATCGATTCAGGAGGACTTTTGGGAGCAGTCAGACTATGGGAGGGTTACACGGGGCTCTGGAGAGATTGACGAGCACCTGAAGTGACGTATGAGGTGAGTGCAGGATAAATCGACACATAACAGCTGGGCGGCACACGAACGCACTTTCCACGGCTTTCGAAGTCCTCATCTCCAGCGTACGGCCGAGTGATTGCACCGCCGAGCTTATCCTCAACTACAACGGTAGTATTCGGGCCTCGAGCTGTTCAGAGGACGTTCAATGCAGAATTAACTTTGCCTGATTCGACGGCACCGCATCAGGCTCCCTCGCAACCCGCCTGGCTGGCCATGCAAACGATGCATGGGTGGTCGAACGGCGGTACTGCGACATCGCAACCGCGCTTGACAGGCTCAGTTACCTCACGAAGTCGCAGCACGTTGCAAGATCATCAGCTACCCAGCACATCATGAGGCTCGACAATCCCGAGGCCGGCAACCCGGTGGTTTGGGTGCTATGTGTTCGCTGTATATTTGAGGCTACGTTTATTCACGATTCACGAAAAGACACGATCGAGATACTCCGCTTCCGCCAACGCTTCTTCACAGGGGTTGCCTGTGACACAAGTATAATCCTCGATACTCCCATCTCTTCACACACTTCCCATATATCACATCAGCATCCCTCGACTTCCTCTACCTTGAAGGTCAAAGTGCATCAATGAAGCGGTCCCGATCTTCATACCAAGCGATCTCCCCTCGTTCAAGCGAGTATAATCTCCAGAATCCTAGCACCGAACAGTACAGTGCGTCAAACGCTCGAGCAGGCGTTTTTGCTGAGTACATTGAGGATGCTATAGGTACTACGGAGAACTTGGATCCCTTGCAGCACTTTCTGGGTTCTTACGTCGAGCCTTACACGCAAGCAAACACTTCGAACCAATCCGATGTTGCGAGCAGCGGCATCGACGCTCAAAGAAACCGCTCGCAGGCACAACAACCCCTTGGAAGCGTCCAACAAAGCCCACCTCAGTACAGCGAGGGTGTTTTACGTGGCATCGTGAATTATGCTGGATCCCCTGGATCGATCCGCGCACATCGCGTAACAAGAAGTGCACACCAACATCTCCAAGGTACGGCAGCTGTTTGTCCATATAACACACGCCGTAGATCCTACTCTGTCACAAGCCAAAGAACTACTGTCACACCTATGCCGAACCCTGCTTCAGGAGACTCGTCGGAAGTTCATTTCACGCCGTACGGTCCTTACCGCGGTCTATTTCATGATTCCGATGGAGCCAGGGATCACCGCCATTTTTGCACTCGCTTTGGTCGTCAAACATACATCCACCCTGAAGACGACCCTTCTATCGACCAAGTGGAGAGTGATCGCAATCACCATGTTGGGCGCATCTACGACGCCATGATCCGCGGAGATCGTGCCCAAGATAATGCGGGTTCCATCGCTATGAAGCGTTGGGTCCATTGCGCTCACTACAAATCCGACCTCGTGGAAGCATTCGCGCACAAAGTCTTTGACTGTTTGCTTGTGCAGGTAAAGGAAGGCTTCCGTGGATGGCATCACAATGACTATGTCGACGATGATCGCAAGGGTGAGAAAGAAGATCGTGAAGCCGACTGTGTAGGCCGCCTGGAGAACATCATCGATGCGCTTGAGCGGGAGAAGACGATCTGCGAAGATGTCGTAAACTCCGCTAGTCAGATCCGGATGTTCGTCAACGCTCCGATCGCTTATGCGTCTCGTAAGCTTCAGAATCGCCTTGGCAACAGCAAACGAGGTCGTACGAAGGATACAACAAACTCCAACCCCAGACCGACCAAAGCGCGAAGGATTGGCGGGAGGCAAACCAGAGCCCGATCGGCTACCACATCTGAATTTCCAACCTCTAGAGACGCCACACCTCAGTTCCAGACGTCAGATACCACAACAATGCCCTATTATGCAACTTCGACTTCGCAGCAACTCCCATCAAGCCCTACACCAGCCTGCTTGGCTCCTAGACGGCCTCTTCAGAGATCTGCCATATCCATGCCCCAAGTGCATACTGGCTACAAGCAAGCCAACGCAACCGCGCCACCTATGACGACCAAACCCGCCACGACGTCGTCTGCTTTGTCAAGACCTGCGATGTCACCTCCAATGGCCCCCAATTCACGCTCATATAATGCTCACGTCACAGCGATGCCACCAGCGCAGATGTTGCCCGTCCCCTCGACACCCTCGCCCTCATGCATCTATCATTCCGCACCTCCATCACCTGACGGCGTGAAGTATCTTATTGCCACAAGCTCACCCGAATCCTTCCTCGCCGTGGATACTTTCGACAACAATATGTGCACACCTGTAGACCCGTCGCTGGCCACCAATGACATCCTCTTTACCCAAAAGGTATGGTCGAACGAGCTTGCAAACGTCCAGGCAGCTGACAGCACGAACTACTTCGATCAGCATCCGATCGTCAGCCATGTCAGCCTTACCGATATTGAGAATGGACCCTTGCAGCCTATTGACCAAAGTATCGGAGATTCTACCGACTTCGAATCCCTCTGGAATGCACAAACTGGTGTGCAGCCCTTCTCTTTCGACGGATGTCCAAATAATGGTTTGAGTCAGCATTGAATACCCCATCTTTCTGCGCCCTTGTACCTGTATCACATTGCTTTGCGTATCGGTTGGATTTCCTTTAAGTTTGTGCGTTGTTCACCTGGACAGTGTGACAACAATTCCACCTCGATTTGTGCTTTTAACGTCTGATGGGTTTCTTTATCTCTTGCCACTATTCGGGCTCAAACCTCTTCGCATGTTGCCTGGCTCAGTGCTGGTTCTTCTTTGAACTTTGTGAGTTCTATTCCCACTGCGAGTAGAAAGGGGTTATGGCAGTCTTGCCGATGTATTGTATATACATGTAACTTTTCTCATCAATACTCAACCATAATCGTCAAACTTCCGTCCGAATTTCATAGTTGTCCCGAATCTCGTATGTCACTGCGAGCTGAACCAATCGTTATGGCGCTGGAGCAGGTCGCATGGCACTCACCTCCACAGGCTCTAGCCGGGTACCCAGCTCTGCGGTACCATGCTAGGAACCCAGTTCAGTAATCGCTCATTCGCCACCACGTCCCTCGGTCGTAAGTCCGATACTTGGAGGTATTTCGATCAATGTGCTCTTCTATAGTTCTCCATACACCGGACAAACTTCTGCAAACTTGATGCTGGTTTCTGGAATTCTCAACACGTGAGATGCTGCTTTCACAGCGACAACAAAATATCTCAAGTTGTTTCACTGACATTCCAGCATCATCGAGGCGTGACTGGGCACAATGTATGCCTTTCACTGCTATGGCGATGCTCCTGCGGCTATTTCATCCAGGTCGACTACGACGTTCTGCTGCTCCTCCACCACCTCATATCATTCAACCACCTCTCTACTATTCCACCATGGCGCAGAACAACCCTTCTGAAACAGCCTTAACTACGGCTCAATCACCACCTCCAACCAACGGCACTGTCGACGACACCGCTCCGTACAAATTCAACGACCAAGGCGGTCCAACGCGACTTGCATGGGCCAACGACCTCACTGGGGCCACTGCATACCGTAGTCGTGTAACACGTCCCCCAAAGCAACTCGGAACGTCTGATCCGACCATTGCTCGCGTCAAGGCACGCCAGGAGACCTACATCTATGAGATGGTACAAGCTATGTTCAAGGTCGACACGGTAAAGGACAATCCTACTTTTGAGGGTGTCTTCTGGTTTACTCGTGGTCATAAGAACGTCGTCTCCGCCTACGATGTTGAAGCCGCGTGCCGGGTACTCTTCAAGGCCGTTCTCGACCGCTGCGAAATCGGACATCGCGGTCTCGATCGGGAAGATCGACTGTATAAGAAGTACCCCGAAAAAATCGACCTCAACGGTAGCTGTGAGGCCCGCATCAACAACGTCATCACTGCTTTATGCGAGTGGAAGTCTATCTGCAAGGACGTTCTCACATCGGATGCCAAGATCGGCCAGTTGGCAAACGCTCCGGCTTCGATTGCCAAGGACAAGCAGAAGCACTGGAAGAACAACAAGACAAAGAAGGAGAGCACTCAAAACGACCGGGTTGTCGCCGTCACTGCTACCCAAGGTGCTGCTGCTGCTGCTCTGGTTGTTGCTGGCAACTTGCCGCCTGTAGCTCGAGTCGGCCGTCAAAAGAAGACAAAGCCTGAGAAGAAGAACCGCGAGGATCGGGACCCTTCAGCACCTCCGCCTCGGACTCAAGCCGGTTCTTCCTCTTCTAAGCCATCCTACACCGACAGGGCCAACAAGCAATGCACGGCCCACTTGAGCGAACCTGACCCCCTTGCGGGCTTCGATCTGGAGTCATCCGATCTTTCAGGTCATCTACAACAGCCAGCTGGTCCTGGCAGTCTACCTCAAGACCCGCCGGTCTACGGATGTACCTATCCGGTTGGAATTTCGCAGCAAGGGCAGTCGCTTGTACATCAACAGGGCCGGTTGTTTGCATCTCAGCCAAACCAGCCCTTCGTACCTCCGCAACACCAAGCCATACCGTCAGCCTATCCCAAGTACAACTCTGGTGGCTTCGGAGCCACTCGACAAGTATTCCACAGCTTTAGCGGCTACGTTCAAGGTCTTGTTCCAGTCAACCTCTCGAACCACTTCAACGGCCCGACCTATGCACCCAAATTCCCGCTGTCATCCCCGCATGGCAATCCTACCACAAACATGCGCAGCTACAACATGTACGGCACTATTACCCCCCCAAAAACCCCTGCTTACGGTGGCACATCGACTACCGATACAATCTATGCTGCTGCGGCTGCTGCGGTGCCCTCTCAACCTTCTCGTCCGCTGAACCCGGCAGCGAAGCACTACCGCACTCCAACTATGGATGCGCAGTCGCAGCCTTTGCCCACGCGTGTTAAGCGGGACGAGGTGCAAGAGGACGTTACTTCGGGTCTCGACAACGTTGATGAAGAGTAGGTACCGCATTCTATGACTGAGTAACACCTCACTCCAGTACTGTAAACATGTTCGCGTCAGGTCGCTGGCTGCGTCTGTGGTTGTTGTTCCGCCTCCAAACTAATCTACCCAAGACTGGGTGTACGGATCATTCATGTCTCGTTTGTTTCTTACGGGGATATCTTTCTAAATGCACATAAAGCTGTAGCATCTACAGCAGGGTACAATACTTCTGGATCTGGTCGGCCTTAGTGAGCCAAGTCAAACGGATACACGAACATATCAATGGAATCATTTGCATCGTTACTCACCGTTCCATATGTTTCTATCTGCTTGCAAATGCAGTTCATAATGTTCGGACATGATTCCAAGCCTGAGGGATGGCGGTTGTGTGATGGTGACGTTCAGTTCAGGCGTCCAACTAACCGCTTCAGGAAATATTCGCTAGCGCCCATTGCAACCAGTGAGACATTTGTAATCGGAACGGAGACGTCGAAAGCAAATCTATAAGGTATAAGAGCATCGTGAGGTTGAAGTGACAGACTGTATCGAGATTCAGATCTCAGAAAACCACCTCTAATCTTTGTATCTTATTGCCTCTCAGACTGACACAACCTCACCATGTCGACACACTTTGCAGTAGCAACAGTGGGCGTCAAAGCCAAGCTCGAACTCATCCGAGTACCTACTGTCAAACCTACAGGAGATCAGGTCCGTATCCGAAACGAATGGACTGCCTCCACACCATTAGATCTGCACCAGAACGACGGTGGTCTTCTGGTGAAGCACCCGCAGGTCCTTGGTGACGGCACCGCGGGTACAGTTGTCGAAGTCGGACCTGATGTGAAAAGACTCAAGGTCGGCGACAAGGTATTCGGATTTACGTGGAGAACCCAAGCGGAGAAGGGGCAACAGGAGTTTGCTACGGTCGAAGAGTGGCTGCTTGCTAAGGTAAGTTGACCTGATTCGTACCTTCAGCATCGGCTGACCACAACATAGCTCCCAGAAGACTTTACGCTTGCAGAGGCGATAACCCTTCCAGACAATCTCGTCACGGTGTTCCATACGCTGACAGCAGACCTGGGCATCGAGCTGCCGTGGCCAAAGCCGAATGAGTACGTGCCAGCGAATGCTGACAGTCCGATCCTGATCTGGGGCGGGTCGTCATCTGTCGGTCAGTTCGCGCTACAGGTCCTGCGATACTATGGCTACACCAATGTCCTGGCCACTGCCTCCCGCAAGCAGCATGACAAGTTGCGCAACCTTGGTGCGAAGGCTCTGTTCGACTACAATGACCAGAACATCGTGGCCTCCTTACTCCAAGAGGGCGGTGCAACTGGCATCCCGCTGATCTTCGACTGCATTGGAAGCAAGTATGGAAGCATTGCACCCATCTCCCAGGTCGCAAGGGACGGCGCGAAGGTTGCTATACTGCTGCCGGTCATTGTGCGAGACTCGACCGAGGTAGAAGCTCCTGAGTACGAGATGGACGTCAAGAAGGCGGCAGACTGGAAGGCAGGTGTCGATGCTCGAGGCGTTAGAACACACTTCTACTTAGACGTAAGTATCCATGATTCTCTGGCGATTAGTGGCGGATGCGCAAAGGCTGACGTTCCGGAGAACGAATTCTTCAGATACCACCTCCAACCTGACATTATGCCCACGATGCTGAAAGAGCGCATTGTCGAGCCACAAAGGCAGAAAATTGTCGAAGGCGCGACGTTGTTGGAAAGAGCGCAAAAAGCGATGGACATGCTTCGGCGCAAAGAAGTCAGTATGGAGAGATTGGTCTGGTCTGTCAGCGATACCGAACCATAAGAGCGGTGAGGTCATTGATTCTGTTCATTTTGCTCGGGTAAAACGGGTCTTTATTGAAGTGTTTCGGAGCGCGCTGGCGGTGGGGAACATCGAGCAGATGGAAGGAGTGATGCTGGGGCGGCCCCACTGAAGTCAGCCATTTCCGTGCCGAGACTTCTGTCATATCCACGAGCACTGACAACACCAAGCGAGATTCGACAATACCGAGAAGTATTGATCCTGTACGGTATACGAAGACAGTAAATCTGCCTCAAAACACCTCGAATGTGCTTGCGTGAAGGTCTGTTTCCTAATTTGCATATAAAGCGAAGACGATTGAGCTTCAGAATTTTGCGTACCTCACCATCGATTCCAGACTTTGTGATCATCTTCTCAGGCTACAGCGTGTATCTTGATCAAGGATTCAGGAGGATTGACCTGTAGGTTTTCGATTCATTTGCAGACAGCGGATCTACCTAGCGCTAAACAGGTTAGTTCCCGGTTCGTGACAGGAGACAGCTCGACGCCTCTGCATCGTTCTCCATCTCTTCTTCGAACAACAAAGCATCTCCATCTCGCTTCCGGCACAGGCAAAGCAAAGCGCGCGGTGTGATGCATGTCAAGCGCCTGCGATAAGGACGAACTTGTTGGTGGAGACGCCGAATCATGCGAAATCTGCCGTTTTCCGCCTCTCGCATTGACCCCATCACAGATGAAACCGCCCACATGCTCGCGACCGTTTCAACCCAGGTCTTTGGGCGCTTCGACCAGATGAAACGATTCGCCTAGATGTCCCTTACAGGTTAGACATCTGCCACAGTGCATGGTGGCCGCTGTCGCGGGAACGCCCCTCCTTGGCCTTCCGCCTTAATCTTCATCCTACGATATTAGTCATTCCGGAGCTGCATTCTTACTGGTGGAGTAACCCGGCCAAGCAGCGGATGAGGCTCCCCGCCATGTCAGATATCCCAGAAGTGGGCATACGTCCTGGGCGAGAACACAGGCAAGCGTTGTTCACGAGGCTGCACTCCATCGGGACTCAGTTTCGAATGTTTAATGAACGACCCACAACACGGCATGGAAGGAATGATTCATTATGAAAGAGGGCGTATATAGGCGTCTGACACTGCTCTTCCTGTTGTTTTGCCCAAACATCAATTTCCTCTTCCAATTCATCAGCTTCTTTGCTTCCTAGGTCTGTGACCTTGACATTCGTTGTTACCACACTCATTCTTTACACTCTTTCAAAGAAGCTAGCTTCTCATCACACTCTCTACCAACAACCTTTCAACCCAACAACCAACCATCAAAATGAAGTCCTACTCCGCCGCTGTTGCCCTCGCTGGCTTCGTCTCCTCCGTCGCCGCTCACGGCTTCATCTCCTCCCCCTCCCCTCGTCTTCCCGGCGATGGCCTCAAGGCTGCCTGCGGTGACCAGGTCTACAACCAGCAGAGCTCCGACCACTACGGCAACGTCCAGGGTGCTCTCCAGAACCTGCAGGGCTCCCACCCCGACTGCCGCATGTGGCAGTGCAAGGGTGTCCCCTTCGCCGACGCCGGTGAGATCTTCGAGTACACCGCTGGCCAGGTCATTCCCATGAAGGTCGAGATCCGTGCTCCCCACGACGGTGTTGCCAACGTCTCCATCGTCAGCGTCAAGACTGACAAGGTCATTGGCGAGCCCCTCATCAGCTGGGACCAGTACGCTCTCACCTCCTCCCCCATCTCTGAGCACCCCGACTGGACTTCGTTCGACATCACTATGCCCGATGTCAGCAGCGAGTGCGCCAACAAGGGTGACTGCGTGATCCAGTGGTACTGGGATGCCGCCTCCATCGACCAGACCTATGAGTCCTGCATCGACTTTACCATGGGTGGTGGCTCTGGCTCCGGCAACAGCACTGCTCCCGTCTCCAGCGCTGCCCCCGTCAGCTCTGCTGCCCCCGTCAGCACTGCTGCCCCTGCCTCGTCCGCTGCTCCTACCTCTGCTGCCGCTGAGGCCACTCCTGTCGCTTCCTCCACCGAGGCTGCTACCCCCGTTGCCAGCTCCGCCGCCCCTGCTACCCCTACTGCCACCGGCTCCGCTGGCTCTTCCACCCTTCCTGAGGAGTTCACTATCGAGCAGTTCATCTCCTGGCTCGAGGCCAACGCTGGCTCCAGCGCTGTCCAGAAGCTCCGCCGTGCTATTGCTGCGCGCACTTCGCGCACCCACGCCCGCGCTTTCCGCGGTTAAGTAAATAGCTTAGGCTTAGACGACCGGTTGTTGAAAAGTTGTAGCGGTGATGCTTCTATTCTCTTGTAGATATACACTTCAGTCATGAATGGATCTTTCCACTCAGGTGGACTTTCTACACGCTGTGCTATGCTTGAACCTGTTCGTGATCGTGCTGTCTGCTTACCATGAACTAGAGGAAACTACACATCATGAGGAACGTGTGGATGAAACAAGGTAATCTTCTTCGATTGTATGGCGGTTGATTATTCGATCACAACTGTGAACTTTAACATGCACATCAGTGTCCAAGCGCGAATTTTCTCCATCTTCTACTTCAGCATATCGAACACAATCCCGTGCGGCCCACCCTCCTCCGCCGGATAATCCAGCTCGAACCACGAAAGCCCGAAGTCCCGATCATCACTCGCCGGATGCAACAAGAACTGCGCAACTTGACCCTTCGGGCAGGGGTAAATAGTCCCTCCACTGATGGTCGTCTTGCCAGAGTGACTAAGTGTGACCGTAGCGACTGTCGTGATGGGCTGCGGCCTGCTGTTCCAAGTGTCCTTATCCTTGTTGATGGTCGGTGGGAGAGAGGAGATGTTGAACTGATAGGGGGCCTGGCCCCAAAGCGACCAGGGTGCGCCTTTGGTCGGGTTGGTGTTGATGTAGAAATGCAGCTGGCACCATTGGGCGTCGTTCGAGGGGACGTCGAAGGAGATCTCGGTGTATTTCTGGGACGTATTAGTAAGGATGAGTAGTTGGTGTGAAGATGCATACCTGCTGGGTGATGGAGCCGGTTAGCTGTGTGCCGTAGGCACGGTTGGGTGCGTTGGCGTCGACTGGGATGATGAGGTGTGGGAACTGCCTGTTGACGAGCGCGCTCAGGGACGGCAGGCCGAAAAGGATGGGGAGAAGAGCTAGTGCGTGCATGTTTGGAGACAGAATATCAGTTTGTGATACAAATAGCTGCTGGCGGTATGGAGGCTCAGCCTGACGGTGCTGAGGTATAAAACTAGAGATGAACAGCTTATACTTATACCTGGGCAGCTGCTGTGCAAAGCAGCACTGCGCAACTGACGGAAAGCGGTCCGGACATGGCCATGACGATGTGATTGCCCTGGAAGAGGCCTTGGTACGACGTGATGAAAGTCTGTACCGGAGTCAACGCTCAGGTAGACTTGCCTTGGGTCCGGTGCCGTATCCGTATGGATCCAATGGTAGAGTTCCGGTCACCACTAAGAGAGACTGAGCCTTGCTGATCGATCAATTGAGCGAGTACACAGCCATCACTATTACCCAATCGAGCCTGGCTCGTGTTATCTTGCCGTATTCAAACGAGGAAACCAATATCTGCAGTACTACTGCAACTGCGAAGCTGTCAATCACGTGTTGTACTTGACGGTATCGACGGGTGTATCCTCAAGTTCACTGATCGGGCATGACTTGTGGATCTTGCCGTGCGGATAGCTGCAGTGAGTCGACATTACAGCCGCTCCTTGGGGTAGGCGAGAATATTGGCAGGTATGCGCTGGAGTGGTAGAAGTGTCTCGGGGGAAAACGCAGCAGTCGACGACAGCCAAGTAGCATGACATTGTGTCCGGGGGATGGCCGACCATTCTGAACGTGTAACCGAATGAACAGGCTTACGAAGGGTTCCAAGGTTGAACTCTCGTAATCAAATGAAGACCTGCTCGAACAGTGGTACAAACTTCCTAGCTGGCCTTGATGAACGTCGTGCAAAAACGCTTGGTCATACTTTACTGATGCAGGGTTAGTGTACACCAAAGCTTACAAGCTATGGTAAATCGTGGGGTCCCATCACTCGACCTGACTAGCAGAGGGAAGGGGAGTTCAACTTCCAGCTAATTACGCGTCTGCTGCCCCGTAAACGAATCAGACTTCTCACTGCGGCCACTGCGACTAGCAACACGGCTACCATTTTGGATATGAAACAGAGAACTTCCGCGTCTCTGTGTTGTGAGCATTGATGTGAGATCTTTAACGAAGTGAGGTGGCGACAGACAGGTTAGTGGTGAGGCCGAAGTGTTGGAAGGCGCGCGCGCTGCGTGCCTCGACAAAGCACGTTACGTCATGCTGCAGGCATGGGCTTCATCCCACCTCCACCAACACCAGAGCTCGCAGTTGTCAGCTACCACCAATGTCTACAGACTGTTGTGCAACATGGGTTTGCTACCACGACTTCGATCCACATTGAGATGTACCCTTGCAGCTCCCCATCACCCCGCGCGTCGAGCCCTCCACCTTGCACCGCCATGGCTTCTTGACGATTACACCCAGCGCTATCACCTGATCAGCTCTGTAGACGCATCCAAGAAACGATCCCAAGCATACGCGCATTTGAGCAACTGTAACCTTTGTCCGAGACTGTGCGGAGTCAATCGCTACGAGAAGACAGGCGTCTGCTTGATTGGCGCGGAGAAGGTCAAGGTCAACACGGTCGCGCCGCATTTTGGAGAAGGCATGCAAACTTATCATCAGCTGCTTGTATATCGGAAGTCGGGGTACAATCGCTGATTGTTCGTGCAGAACCATGTCTCCAAGGCCACAACGGTTCTGGCAGCGTCTTCTTCTCCGGTTGCAACCTGCGATGCGTATGTAACACCTACATCTGTGGACTATTGAATGTGTATTTGCTGTATTCGATGCGTAACTCCAGGCATACCTAACGTTTTCCAGGTGTTCTGCCAGAATCATGACATTGCCCATCAGCGCAACGGTTTCGACCTCACCCCCGAAGAGCTCGCCGAGTGGTACATGAAACTGCAGGACGTAGGCAAATGCCACAATATCAATCTCGTCACACCCGAACATGTCGTCCCGCAAGTCGTCCTCTCCATCCTGCACGCTCGCGAGCTCGGTCTGCGGATACCCATCGTCTACAACACATCCTCTTTTGACTCGCTGGAGAGCCTGAAGCTGCTAGACGGCTTGGTAGACATCTACTTGCCAGACTTCAAGGTGTGGAAGGACAGCACCAGCAAGAGGTTGCTGAAGGCGAACAACTACACCGCAACGGCCATGGAGAGTATCAAGGCGATGCATGCACAGGTTGGAGATCTCTGCTTCACAGCCGATGGCATCGCGAAGAGGGGCGTCTTGGTGCGACACCTCGTAATGCCAGGGATGGAAGATGAAGGCAAAGCGATTATGAGATGGCTCGCGGAAAACGTCTCCAAGGACATCATGGTGCACATTATGGAGCAATACTTCCCCCGTGCCCACGTTGGCAAAGAGCGTCGCAGCGGCAAGGATAAACGCAACGTTGTCGATCCGGGCGGCGCGCAAGCTCCGGAGAGTACGAAGAAGGATGTGAGATATGCAGACATCAATCGTCCGGTAGATCTGAGTGAAGTTGCATCTGTTAAAAAAGCGGCCGAAGAAGCGGGCTTATGGCGCTTTGTCGAAGCTGCAAAGCACGGTGGCTTCAACATCTAAGCACGCCTAGAATGCGGGACGGATCTTGGTTGTTTGCAAGCTCGTCATGGCTGCGGACTGCGCTTGCCCTCGGGGCAGGCACAGGCTGGCTCCTGCCTGCCTTCTGGCTCACCTCACCTCATCATGCGTGGCATCCTCATCTCTTCACCAACGAAACACCCATTCAACTACCCACACAGTACATTACTACGCCACCGCCCACCGCAATGGACCATGCTGCCGATCTGGTAGAGGCCGTGCACCAGCTTAAAGTTGACCGAGACACCTGGGAAGCTGTCGCACTCCAGTACAAGGCCGCTTTCGAGGCGCAGACGGCTCGTCTGCGAGAACTCCAAGACATCTGTTTCGCCACACAAGCGGAGCTGGAGAATGAGCGTGTTCAATATCGTCGCCTACATCTGAGTCTTGATGGAGTACCTCACGATCGCCCGCCTACGGCGAACAGCACCGACGACGTCGCCGATAGCCAAACGTTCGGCACCGCAATCGTCCTTTCGCCAAGCCGCATCGACATGAGCTGGAGACTCAGACCTTCAGAGGACTGCGGCAACCCCATTTTCAAGCGTGTACAGCAATTTGCTTCACAGCAGAACTACGGCACGGCTCTGATCGAGATTGAGAGACTGTTGCGCGGCCCACTGAGCCCCAAAGCTCGGGCCGAAGGACTGCTACTGAAGAGCAGCATCCTACAGGCGACTGGCCCCGACTCGCTCTACGACGCCCTCGCAGCCTGCAGTGAAGCACTCGAGCTGTGCGACCGTGTGCCGGAATTGCAGCCTTTGCTGCCGAGGATACAGTATCAGAGAGGCATCTACTACTACCAACTCCGGATGCTTCACCAAGCGCGAGACGCATTCAGGGCGGTCAGCGAGGACAATCTGCTTTTCGAGAGAGCCAACGAGTATCGTCAGTCCTGCGATGACGAACTGGAACTGCTCCATTTCCCGAATCGCCGTTCCGCGTTTGACGAGAACCGCTCAATGACCGACAGCTTCCTTGCGCAATTGAACGTTGGCTCATCACATGTGAGTTGGGACAATACTTTTTCGCTTGCAAGTTTTCATTGACAGGGTCTGCAGGGGAGGCTTCGGCGCACAAGTGCTCAACTGAAGTTCCGTGCCACTCAGAAGGCGAAGCGAATGCCGCTCCCGCATCGGTGGGTATCTTCGAAGACTGACTTATCGTCAAAGACTGACGAGGTCTGATCCGGCTTGGAGCTACTGTTTCACATCGTACCAATGACCGTCGCATGGCCCTGATCAACCAGCGAACGATAGAGACTCGGTTCAGCTGGAGTAAGAGTGGGACGCCAGGAATGTTCACTATCTTCATTGTACGTAGTCTACTATCGTCTGACGAATGTTGATTTAAATATAGTATGTTAATGATCCACCCAACATTGTGCGTACTCAACTTCGACCAGGCAGCATCTTACACAAAGTCTCACACATCAGTGAGACGAACGGACTAAACGTTTATTTCGCCCTAAGAGTTACTCCCTTACTGGCTTTGTAATGACTATTCCACAACAGCACCTTGCCAATGAATACTTGCAAGCATCAATTACTTCCGACGGGTCAGTCAGCATTCGCGTTCGCCGCCCGCCCTTTCAGTGGCAATCACGTCGATCATCAAAGCGATTTTTATCTGCTGTCGTCAGCGGAGACCGAGTCAATAGACGAAGATTCTCCTATCTTCTCGCGTCCTAAAGGGGGTGACCCAATAGTAGAGTGGGTAGGTACTGCACACAGCGATGATTCTCAAGAATACCGATCAGACATCGTAGCCCGCGTCAAGGCGCAACCTGGCCCTATCGCTGCTCTGCGTTGCACCCTGATCCAAATCATGCTGATGCGCTGTCAGGTGCTTCAGTCTACCATCCAAAGCATCACAGGTAAGCCCTGGTTCAAGGACGGAGGAGCGACGATAGACCAGCATTACGACACCATGAGGCGGCTGGCATGCAAAGCTGTACAGATGGCGGAAGGTGTACAAGACCAAGGCCTACAAGCCCGGTGTGAGCACTGGGCAGGACACGCCTGTGCAGGTATAAACGACCTCCTGGCTGCCGTCTGGCATCTGAAGCGCGCTCAAAGACTGGATATATCCAGGTGCAGCAGCCTCAAGGACGGTAATCAGATGCTCGGTTTGACGTTCAAGGAGAAGCACGATCTTGGCTTCCTACCGAGGGCGCTCACAGAGCTCACAGAAGCTCAAGAAGGCGATGACTATGCATGCCTTCCAGACCGAGAAAATCTGAACCCGAGGAAATTCACCTCGCAAGAGCAGTTATACATCCAACACGGGAGGAAGATACTCCGCCAAAGCCAGGGGCCCGAGCAAGGCTCAATATTGGAAGTGAATACACCGACCATTTGCTCAACCCCATCACTTGCGCCTGAATCCACAGTCACATCTTCCACAAATGACTCTGTTTGTGGCTCTGATTTAGATAACGAGACAACGGCACTGGAGCGACTGTTTGCTGAGGAACCATGGGAAGAGATTTAGCGGAGCATACCTGGTAGAGGTACATGTAGCGTGAGATTATGCATCACTGATAAACTTAGACTCACCAAAGCTACACAAGTGCAAGATGCTTGAATTAATTAAAAACTTTGTCGCAATTATCACAGATCAAAGTGGAAGGCACACTCCAACTAACAAAGGAATGGTCTTCAATACGTGACCATACAATACTTTTATCGCTCCACTATCTTAATCGACGCTTCACTCCTACTAAGTAGGTCAATCACCCAACCTGTGCCGGCGCGCAGTCGACCAACTCCACGGTCTTATGCGTATCCACGAAATACGGTGTCGAGCAAAGCCACTGATGGAGTTGAATTCAGCAGCGGAATGGATATGCGGTGAAGATGCGCGGGTACAAGGCAACTGCGACGAGTTGTGCTGCTCAGGTGGCAAGGGCTCAAGTAACGGAGACCATTAAATATGTGAAAGAGGAGGTGACGGTGAGGGCGGACCTGATGTGTGGGTTTACTGCGCTCTGCGTCATCCTCGTCTTGTCCTGTAATCTCTGCAAGCTTGCCTACCGGCTGCTACGCCGCCTGTGGTGAGGCGTCTACCGACCGCAGGGCCAACAGCAGGCTGAGTAGACCGGAGACTAGCACACCCAAGTACAATTACAATCCGAGTAGGCAAAGAACATCACGGTAGAGCACAATGTTAATGCAGCTTTTGAGATACGCTACAGACAGACGACAAAGAGCACGAATTCGTGGCAGGAACCAGCAGGGCTAAATGCATGAGAAATACCTCCCTCGGCGCAATGTGTAGCATACGGTAAATTGGAAGTTACTGATACCTGCTATGTACCGGACTATCACGATGTTATTGTTCTCCAGTGTTTTGTAACTGCACAAAGTCTTTGTCTGAATCAGCAAAGCTCAAAAGTTGGCAATGAGACATCACGCAGACTGGGATATCGTTTAAAAGTACAAGCACTTAGGAGCCCAGACCATACCGGTCATTTCGATCATCGGTCTTGTAGCACACCCTGCGGCGTACACAAAAGTACAAACTGTAGGCAAAACGAATGCTGAAGAGTACTCCAGGGTCTACATACTCAGTCAAGAGGTGACTCAATACACAACAGCGTTCATCGCCAGCTGCTCTGTTTGGGTCATCCTTTATACTCCTCTTTCTTTCATAGAGACCTCAGAGAAGCAGGTATCATCAAACGGCAAACTGGTCGAGCAGCATAACGGCCAAGACAATCTTAAATCTGTAGTGTGTTCAGGTTTATCTAAGTTATACAATTGTTTCAGCGCATCAACTGAATCAGATCTTGAATCTGGGGACCATAATTCTCTCGCTGACGCAAACACAGAACACTAACATTTGCTTGAGGAAAGAGTCAGAACACTTGAAGCGCATCACTTATACGTTGACACTAGACTTTCTCAACTAGAACAAAAGGTCAGACACTTACAACTTGTCACCGAGGCGCTTTAAAAAAACAGTGCGTGGTCTGAAGAGGAGATCAATCCGGTACAACTTCATCAGCCCGTCTTCGCGCACGAAGCAAGCGAACCGTGGTAGACGGAAGCGAGTAGACTCCGTGTCGCCTCGCCGACTAAGTCAGCCCCACCCTAATCCAATAACCTTACAATCCTCCTCCTTAGAGCTGACGCTCACTCAATGCACCTCCGACACATGTGTGGAGCAAACATAAGCACGCATTGGCAAACTAGAACGACAAATGGCCCTACTCTCGGAGCAATTCAAGATTACAAGCTGCTACTCCAAGCAATTCCAACGAGGCTGCCAGTGAAGCAGGTTTGCGTCTACGTGCTGGGATTAGTCAGAATTGCGCTTGTCGGTCAGGTCTTGACCTATGTCTCTGATGATGCTACGGCTTTCTACTCACTTGATATGGTGCTGAAGGTAGTGTGAGCACCTTAGTTTACGAGAAGTGTTTCGAAGGGTTCGGCTCTGATTAGGGTGGCTTTGTTTAATTTTTCTTTTTTGTAGCTAGTGTAGGATTTGTGCTGGTTTGCATGATCCTAAGGATGGCTCTGATTTGAGAGCTACAAGCTGGAGGTTTACAGAGGATAGCTATATTGTGCGCGTTCTGCATCACTTGATCATGCGTTGAACTTCCGATACATCCTATTTGCGCTTTGCTCTGTCTTCTCTTTGCTCTTTACTTCTTATCAATCCTGCTCTTCTCATCCTTCAGAATCTCATCCAGCGTATCATCAATACTCGGACTCGTCGGCTTCCACCCAACGACCTTCCTCGCCCTCTCCGCCTTACCCCTCGAATTGAAGCCCCAGCTCACCGCCTCAAACCCCGCTTGATCAATCGCCTTATCCTTGCCCAGACTCTGCTCCTCCAACTCGCCCTTCAGTAATCCCAACTCGACCGCCTTCTTACCCATGTTGCGCGCAAGATCGGCCCAGAGGTGCTCGCCGTTCTCGACTAGGTAGTAGCCCTGCTCGTTCCAGAGTTCGGCGTCCGTCTTTCCTGAGACAGCGGCTTCGGTGAGGAGGACGAAGAGTTGGGCGAGATCGGCGACGTGGACGTTGTTCCAGCGCGCTTTCCCTTGGCCGATGATGGGAATATATCCGCCTGTTAAGATAAGATGAGCTAGCTCGTACGCCTGACGTGAGCGCGTGTGCGATGGTCCTCGGCCGCGGCCGTAGATGGTGGGTGGACAGAGAATTGCTGTCTTAACGGAGTCGGAGCCAGCGTTCAGAACCAGGTCGTCGACGTTCTTGTGAAAGGCGTCCGATGGTAGGCCGGTGAGGTCTTGCACGGCAGTCCAGTCGTTGTACTCGCGGTCCGAGTGCTCCCCAAGTTTCTTGTCGTCACGCATGGTCTCCCAGCAGAGGATGCCGGCGCCGCCGGTGTGGAGCCAGAATCCGGGCTTCTGTTTTGAATGGCCGGAAGCGAGACCTTTGGCGATGGCTTTCGCTGCAGGCTCGTTGTCCGAGGCATCAGCGGTATCTGTGAACATATGAGTTTACAGCCCGATACAGACTGATTTGAGACATACGGATAACTACGTCAGCCTTCGCGGCTTCCTCTTCGATGAGATTTGAGCTGTCCAGATCACCAATCACGAGGCGAACTTTTGGAAAAGCATCTTTTACAGGCTTGCCCTTCTCCTCTATTGTTTTTGTCAGTACCAAGTTCGAACATCGACTGTATGGTGCACGTGCTTGATCGTACGAGAGCAGCGATCTCATAGTCTGCATGTTTATTGTAAAGTTCGTAAAGCGTGTCACCGCCGATGTAACCTGTTGCGCCTGTGCTACGATTGGCGTTAGTAGTCCAAGCGAGCACGGGCGTTGATCACGTACAGAAAGATCTTGGGTGCCATTGTGAAGTTGATGGAGTCAATCGAGCGAACGCCAGGCTTTTATCTACACTTGACTTGATGTCGTCAAATGTAATCTATTTGCACTTGATTTTCCCTTGTAACCGATTACAGTTGCGCTTGCGTGCTTGCGGTTGTGGTGGGGCGAAGATTAACATGTAGCCGTGACGTCATGCAAGGGTCTGGAAGAACTTTGGGAGAATTTTGGAAGAAGGCTCTCGCGCAGCTCAAGAAGGATCGATCGCACCTGCCAAATGCGGGTATGGGCTTCATTCATCAGTGATCATCTCTCCTGCGATTTTGCTGCGACCAGGATACCGAAGAATCCGAAGAACCCAAAGAACCCGGAGAAACCGAAGAACTAAAGGCTGGTCATTGTTTTCTCAAACCAGAGGCACGAATGGCTGGAGAAAATGACGTGGTCCAACAACGAAATATGCTGGTCTGGCATTGAGAAATTCCACGGAATTTGAATCCCGTGCCAAGAACTACTCGATGATGTCTGGCCGTCAAAATCTGAACAGCATCGTCTCCTAAAGCATGACAACAAACTTCTCAACAAGTAATCAAACGGAAGCTTGCATCAAATGGATGATGCACCGGCCAAACGCAGAAAGGAAGTCCTCATTCGAGACTCAATTGATGGACCCGTCTGACCACGACGTACGCGTCAATGAAATTGTAAGTTGTTCCTGATGACTCGACAGTGCGTCTACAGTCAGATCAATATTAAATACGCGGTTGGCAAGTAATGTATGAAGCCAAGCTTATCTGTAGATAAACATTCTGAACTCTACATAAGCTTGTATTCGGCTGCGAGCGCGACGACAGATATCACCCGCTACAGCGCCCAAATCCTTTGGTCACCTCTACTATCCGACCTCTCGAGCTTGTTCATCCTTCCATACCAGAGCCTCAGCGTGGTAGCGATAGCAGCGACCAGAAAACTACATGCCGCGCACACAAAGTTACCAGTTGGAAAGCCCTTGTTGCGCTCGTTGTTCTTCCAGATCCACTGCGCAATGATCTGCCCGATACCAGCGCAGGAGTTGTTCACCGCGATAGCTAATGGCAGGGTCAAAAAGCTGGGTGTATTGCAGGTTACCCAATTGGTCAACGATGGCGCACACGGAAAAGCTCCAGCAGCAGCAAGGCACAGGCAGCCATAACGTTGTACGTATGCATCGGCTGGTAGCAGACCAGCGGTGAGCCAGCCTGCACCGCCGATCAACGAAAATGTGGTAATGTGCCAGCCGCGAGCGTTGAATTTGTCGGCTGTGTACGAGATCGTGATGGCGACAAAGAATCCCACGACCCAGGGCGGGACGGTCAGGAGTTGTGCGTGGATCGATTGATAACCTAGACCAGTAACGATGGTCGGAGTAAAGAAGGTGAAGGAGCCCTGGGGAACGACATCTGCGATGTATGCGATGTAATGTAGCAACATGCGCGGGCTGAAGCATGTATCCAGGATCTCTTTACGTGTAGCATGTTCTCGATTGTAGCCACCACCTCGTTCGGCCAGGCGGTCGACAGCGAACTTCTTCTCGGCACTGTTAAGCCACTTCGCCCGAGCAGGGTAGTCTGGTAAGAAGAACCATAGGAGGAAGGCAGACAGCAGGGTAATGATTCCTTCGATGATGAAGAGCAACCGGAAGCCTTCGAGACCTGCTACGCCGTTGATGTGACCGACACCGTATGCTATGGCGCCCCCGAAGGCGCCTGCCAGGTTGCAGAATGCGATGACAAGGGCGATTCGGACGGCGCGCTCATTCCAGCGGTACCAAATGGTGATGAAGTACACGATACCTAATCAATTAGTTTTTGTCTTGTTTTAATTTGGAATTGCTAGGCCCACCTGGAAAGAAGCCTGCCTCGAAAGCTCCGATCAGAAATCTCAACACGATGATCGTAGCGGTGTTTTGGACTCCTGCAAAGCCAATCGTCAAAGCACCCCATACGAAAAGCAGAATGCCCAACCACATTGACGGTCGGATGTAGTGTTTCATAACCCAGTTACTAGGGATCTCGAACACAGCATAAGCCACAGAGAACAGGGTGACGGTCAGGGCATAGCCGTGAGGAGTCAAACCAGTGACTTGAAGCATGTCGTCGTTGGTCTCAGCGTTGAGTACTCGAGCATTTCCGATATTGCCTAGCGAAAATCAGACATGCTGGCCATACATGCGATTATTTGAAGTAGAGTAACGTACCTCTGTCGAGAAAGTTGAGAAGATAGACCCAGCAGCACAATGGCAAGACGCGCAAGTCAAGCCGTCGATTAAGCCTTTTGTTTTCCGCCGCATCGTTGATTTCAATCTCTTCCTGATCTTGTAACGTCTCTTCATGGTGTTTGAGGTCTGCGTCCTCGAAGTGTTCATTCTTTACAGGCTTCGAAGATTTTTCCATGTTGACGGTGGCGTTTCTGAGTGCTCCTGAAGTGCAAGCAGTACAAGCCTACATAAGAGCCATAGTCTGGCGAAGACAGAGTGCTTATGAGCAGCCGTTCCGACTTGGTGTCCTTATTGGGGAAGCTGGGTATACGAACCCGGATATACCAGCATGTTACCCCAGATGTGCGGGGTAAAACGTCCCGTCCCCTCACATCATCATCGTTACTCGTGGGGACGATCCCAGCGTTGTGCTTGAAGAGCTCATTTCGGCGTTCTCTCCGACATGGAGGTGGTGGTTGTGGCGGGTCTTGGGTTGCGGTGCTAGAAGTGATCGCCGCAAATTGCACAACTACGTCATAGTACTATGCGCGGCAATTATGGCGATTATTTGCAGTTCAACATTGACGAAAGCCGTGAGTTGTGCACAATATATATCATCAAAGTTGTCAAGGTTAAATTCATTCTTGTGTCAGTGTCTTGTCTTCAAGGTTTTCTAAGGTGTTGACGCGACTGGTATTGAATGACTGACGTATAAGTATGTTGGAAGGGGTTATCATCGTACCAGAAGGAGGTACTATGACATGGCTTGTACCTGCCACCTAACTTTACTAGTATATATACTTTCCAAACATTGGAGATCCTCCATCCTTAAAAATCAATACACCTTTACTTCAGCAAAGTACTTACACCGTAGACGACTTTGATAGAAATATCTGAGACTGATCGTGTTGATGCAAGAGACGGGAGACAAACTTCACTTTCCGCGGTCCATAGACTGATGCTGGATCCAGAGGAAGAAACTTTGAAGGCCTGTCCCGGAAGAGCATCTCCAAAGGCTTCTAGCTCTGGATACTGATAGTCAATGTTTAGTTCCATGGAGTCGATTCGGCTTCTCCGGGCGGTTGTAGAATTTAAGTGTATCAAATGCTTTAATCATGAGGGTTGTGATAGTTTGAATGCCGCCATTGTGATCTCAACTCGGCCATAGCTGTCGCAACACGAAGAATGGATGCGCCCCGCTCGCATTACGAAGAACTTACTGTGGCTCGACCCTCAGTGTTGGCTGGGTCTGAAGCAGCCTGACTTGTCACAAATGCTGCGCCTCGATAATCCGCTTGCTTCGATGTGGAGGACTCACGCATGCCGTTTATCGCACGAAGATCGAAGCATACCATCGGGTGATGGCCTTGAACTAGCTCGAACGATAGCAACAAACAAACCCCAATCCGTAAAGCTACCGATGTCAGTTAACCTATCAAAACAAAAATCCAATACCACCCATATCCCGCTGAGCCACAGCATCTATGAAGCTTGGTTCGGTTCAACAAGATCAGAAACGGTTCGATGCGCCCAGATGCTTGTCGGTGAGGCCTCTGGAGGTTCCCACCCTTGCATACACACCAAGGAACTCATCTTCTCCACACTCCAGAGAACCCCAGGAGACAACTACGATCAGAGAATCGGTATTAGTATCGATGATAGGGCCTCCGCTGTCACCAGGACAGGTATCTTTGTCGTTTGCAACCTTGCCGTCGCCAATGTAACTAGCGCAGATCACGTCTTCGGTGATCTCTGGGAGGCGGCCTGGAGAGTGCCTCTGTCACTCGCGATACCAAGCAGCGCACTTCCTTCAAGAATCAACGGGAAAGTCCACTTCTCTCAAAACCTGAGACGCATAGGAGTCATTGACGGAAGTGACACCCCTGAACTACTGTGGAAGAGCTGAGATGATTTTTATTTATTGATCTTTTGAGCTATTGGCTGGAATCGATCGAGACTATATAGTAGAAGGGGATAGCAGTGAAGAGTTGGGGAAGCAAACCGAACTAACCAAATGAGCGGGACAATCAGTGCAGCGGACCGCTGGCAAACATATACTGATAGCTACGGTAAACGATAACGTAGAACTATCGGGTCGATGGAATACTGTGCTGAATTGCTATCTAGCTGGGAGATGACGACTATATACCTGACCTCAGACCAGTGACCTTTCACACACTAGACTAGGGTAGTCTGTCAGGGAGGGCTACAGTCAGACCTTTTACGGACCAACCGATACCGCAACAACCATTAGTCAATGTCGCCATTGATCATTCTGCCGAAAATCAAAGACGACTCACCTTTGACATAGCCTTCGATCAATGTTATGAGGAGTGCAAAGACAACTAGCAAAGCCATCACTTGCCCGAAAGTCCACGTGTTGTGGCCCTCTTCGTTGAGTGTCGGCCGCATCCACAGGTTGAGAACGCCCCAACAGAAGCTGATGATCAACCACCAGACCTGAACTTATCAGTGTCTTTGTCGAGAAAGGAACTGGACGCGAAGCCTACCTCAAATGCCCTCGATGTGATCATGTCGGCAAGGAGCCGAATAGTAAGACAGCCGATAAGATCATGCGCTGTTGACTCGCTTGAAAGACGCGTTCGAAAGTATACGTGTACCATGAGTGCTCAGTACACGTGCCCTCGTGGCGGTTGAAGTAATAGGTGGCGTGATCCGTAGGTTTCGGTCTGATGTTATCACCTTTCCTTTCGCCACATACGATGGTCTGTGACTCCCACATATAGTGACCTGTAGGTATCAAGGCAACAAACAATGAGCATGATGATGAAGATAATCTTTCCCGGGAACCTCCAGAAGTAGCCGAGAGTATTGCGCCGGAACTAGTTACGAAGTGCAGTCAAACAGCAAAGTTGGGTGATGCTTGAGGACTACGCCAGCTGCACAAATCTTTGCCAATGATACACTGAGATCCTGGTATCCAGCTGTGGGAAACCACTGATAAGGATGGAGCCCGGTAACGAGTTGAAAATCGCTCATGGTGAGCATGGCCTGGTCAGGTCAGCCAGGTACATAGGTGATATCGGGATCATCTTACATGAGCAAGCGCGTTCCTGAAGCAAAAACCTCGTTCGCTCTATAGTTCAATGCCCCGCGATTCGCGCTGCGCACCGAGTCTCCGATATAATAATTACTCATCGACAGAATTGATCTTGTTGGATGGTCGTGCTTTAAATCTTCACGCTCGGCTGCAGACGTAGCATCTGGATGATAGATGAAGACACAGTTGGCCACAACCAAAAGCAAGGCTATTGCGGCGGCGCTAGTGTAGGCAATGGTAACCTAGCGTGGAGCCAGTTCGCGCATTTTCTTCGAACAAAAGTATGTTGTTGCCTTACACCAACTACAGAAATGTCTGGGTCGGAGGTTAGCTTGACTGGAGGAGCATCTGCGCAAAGCTCGGAAATCATCGCAAGATGCAAAAAAAGGCCAAAGGCTGCCAGCGTGCCTGGACTGGAGGCTAGGATTCTGAAGGGATACGCTCCTGTGAGTAAGACTGGTGGCTGCGAGGTAGGTCGAGATCAACACGCTAACTATGCAATATCTAGCAAACACCAACATTGTCTGTTTGTCCACTCATTAAAACATCGTTATTTGCTGACTGTCCGGCAATAGTTGCGCTGTTCAAGGCTGCTATAACCACATTGCTGATTAGCCGCAGAGATTTCGCCAGGGGCAAGCGCAAGCGATTGAGGTGCATAAAGCGAGTAAGGAACGAGTGAATGTTGACATGATACCAAAGGATGAACAAACTGAGCGGCTCGCCTTCGCTTGATAATGCTTGTGTGAGTCTGAAAGAAATAGGCACATGTTGAGGTCCGAGGAGGCGCAGAAACGGCACTAAAGTGGCTAGCTGACTAACATCTGAAACTTCAGATGCCGTTCTTGCTCCACCTACACCAAAGGAATAAGCATCATAGCGACGCATTACCAGATTAACATATAGAGAAGACCATGCGCCATACTGCCCTCTCCTTCCTGCTTGTTTCATCAGTTCGCGTCCTTCGTGACAACCGTTTATAGCAACACAGTCCTCACCACGCTCTGATTGGTCTGCTCGCACAGCATCCGCTTCTCATTGGTTTGTTCGCATAAGTCACGTGCGAGCATGCTACACAGGAGGCCTGAATGCATACGGCCTGCCGAACGGACCAATCGTCGTAATGATACAGTTGAATACTATCCCAAAAATGGGAATGTATGAGCTGCGGTTTGCGACTGAGGAACTCAGGAGATAAATATCGGTAGGTACGGCAGACCTGGGGAGGGAAGAGTGGTACGTATATAAGCCTGCTGGATTCCATGTGAAGAAGCCTGCCTGTTCATCTTACTCCTGATCCGACACTTCATACAAACCTTTCGTACGCTTCTCATCCACCTACACCGCAGGCCAACTACTACAAACCTCTCATCACTGTCCTAGCAGACCGGCAGCCTGCACACCAACCTTCAGATTCAGCCAACATACTGTCCTCAGTTCAGCTTCTGCTCATCACACGCTCGTTGCGCATCTCTCGTCCATTTATTGAGTACGTCAACACAACCTCAGACCACTCATCATCATGCCCGCCTTGATCGCCCGCGACGACGCCGGCTACGCACTCCCCTTCTTTGTCATAGTGCTGCTCATCGTCTTCGGCGCGCTCTGCCTTGTCATTTGCGGCTACGCCATTCACCGTATATCCAGTTTCAAGCCAGGCGGTGATGGGTTCAAGCCAGTCTCTGTAGCGCAGGCGGACTACATGGCGGAGGTGAGGATCAGGAACATGAACAGCCTGGCTTATGAGGGAAGGAGGAGTCAGTGGGGGAAGGGTCCTGTGCCGGAGTACAGGGAGGGTTGAGGATGGGTTGACATGGACGTGGGCGATTGAGCGACACTACCCCAATAAACACTGATGGCATGGCAGCGTTGTGACACCTTGTAGCATGCAAGTCCTAAGAACTGGAGAAGGAACGAAGACAGTAGAGGACATCTAGACGGGTAGAAAGCATGGATTTGAAAAGGATACATGGCTTGGAAACAAGCAAAGGATGGACAGAAGGACGTACATGGCCGGCATATGCAAAGAGACAGCAAAAGACTGATGAAATCATAATCGATACCGCCATCTTCACTGAGCTGCTTCCGGCAGGTGTAGCAAAATTTTAAACTTCGATCTGTTCACTATGATTCCAGCTTATCTGACAGCTTGCGCCTTGCTCCTTTTCTTGCTGCTGTGGTCTGATGACTGACCAGAAAACGGCACAACCCTTGTCTCGATTGAAGATAGATCATGAGAACAGCATACGCTCGAACTGAAGAATCAGGTCGCGGTTGGTGGCGCTGCAAGCGTGTTTTATTGATGACGCAGGGATGCTAAAGCTGGTGACGAATCGTGCCCCACAACGCGCCTTCCCAAAACTCCACCAACTTCCTTTCAGACCTTGCGCTTAACCTTCAACACTCACTTCACCTCACCTCACTGTGCTTTCAATCTGTTGCACTGCCGTAGCATCTCTCATCAAACCCAATCGTTCCTGCTATTGTTCCCATTTGTCACGTAGTCATTCGCGCACCTGCATTAGGCAGTTGAACGGTGAAGTGGACGACACAACGTCATTTTAATCAATTGACTACCTGCAGCCTTTGACTACTTGGAACATACCAAACGCCCTATCCTACTTGTACACTGACAAAAGGGAATCTAGAAGCTAGTTAGGGTCACGTCTGACATCTACAATGCCCAAGCTGCGAGGGCGAAGATGACTGATAGCGCCATAGCCATGGAGTTGACCATGGATACCGAAGTCAAGGACCCTGCACCTGTACCCTGAGCAGCACCAGTAGCACTGGGGCTAGCGGAGCCACTGGCCGAACCACTGGCGGTGCTGTCGCTGTTGGTTTCATTGCTGCTGCCGGTGCCATTGCCAGTTGAGGTGGTCGAGTTGCTGCTGATAGGAGCAGGTGTTGGCAGCTCCTCGCTATCTGCCGGGCACGTCAGGTTGTAGCGGGGAGTGGTGCTGAGGTTGTCGGTAATGGCGAACTTGACCTCATTGTCTGGGTTGGCGTCACGAAGAGTATACCAGAAGACGTTACGCTTGCCGAACAGCTTGCAACCAACCTCCTGCCAGTATTCGCCCGCGTTGTCGACGGTGGCATCAGCAGCGCCAAATGCAGGTCCAGTGTACGCCCAGCCGGTCTCGGTGATCCAGACGTCCTTACCGCCGGCGACGCCCTCGGTGGCAGTCAACGCACTGTTGAGCAGGCTCCCTGCGTTGCTGATCTGATTATCGCGCTCGGACTCGTAGAAGGGGAAGGCATTGACAGCGAGGAAGTCAATCTCGTCGATGACGGCCTTGTTCGAGCCATTGACCCAGGCGGTCCAAGTATCGACATGGGTAAAGGGCTTGTCCTTGAGCGCTGTGTTGGCGAGGCGCGATTTGGCATCCTTGATGAAGCGCACGATAGTGTCGGCGTTGTTGCCAACACCAGCGTTATTGCGTAGACCAGGCTCTGACACACGGTACAGATCCTCACTACCAACCGAAATGCCCACTACCAGATCCGCCAACTTCGAACCATGCTCATCGAGAGCCGCCGTCAGCGCATTCAGCTCGTTGTCGATGTTATCCGTGCCAGACGCCCAGATACCGAGAAGAAGGCTTGTGTTTGTCGCAATTGCAGCTGGGAAGGCAGCAATGGGTGTACTAGGAGTGTTCCACTGGATGTTGGAGTACAGGCGGATAGTGTTGAACTCGCCGGGCGCACCGTTCAGGCTCTTCGCAGCCTTGAACTCGCGCTCGAAGTCCTGCTGGTTCTTCGCATTGCCCTTGTCGTCCGAGGCACCGGAGTTAAAACCTAGGATGGTGTCTTGAGCAGCTGTGCTGCCGAGTGTCACGGCGATGCTGAGTGCGGCTGAAACGCGCATGTTTGCTGCAAGAGTTAAGGAGTGTGGAGAAGTGAAGGAAAATGTCAAGAGAGACAGGTGTGTAAGGGTGAAAGTGAGACTGGGGACCCGCGTGTTTATTAACGGCGCTGAAGATCACCCGGGGTACGAAATCCGGGAAATTTGCGGACTCCAGTTGCAGCGCTTTTGATTGGGCACGCATGACGCAGCTTGGCTCAGCTGAGGCTCGGCGCCAACCTGGGAACTTAGCGATTCGCGCAGAACTACCCGTGTTTGCGCCTCAAACACCGTGTTGTTTGTTTTCGTTCTCCGCATCCCGAGACCCGGTTGCTGACCCAAGGTAGCAGCACAACTTCACGTTCCCCTGCAGCGTCAGCTCTGATCGTGCACATCTCCAGAGCGAGTTCACATCACAGTTGTCAACTTTGCAAGGAAGTGTACAATCAACACTTTAAAGATCGATTGAATGCAAGCCGCACTATCGAGGACCGCATCCAGGAGGTATTCAGACTACAATCAAGACTCCAGTTCCATTTTATCTGCGAACTGCTCCGCCAGGACGTCTGGCTCAGCCTCCTTTAGGTCACCCTTGGCCTGCACTGCCTCGGCGGCATGGGGGAACCTCACAATCAGACCAGCGACTACCTCCACGAACGTCTCACACCAGGTTAACTCGATGTCAGGGTGCGCAGTGTACGTACCTTCGCCGCTATGAAGCAGTTGATCTTTCCTTGCCATGACCTTTGTGCAAGTCCTCCAGTAAAAAGACAGCGACCATGGTGTGCCTACCGTCCGGATGTTTTGGAATTCGCCGCTATGCTCGACCTCGCGGAGGTAGCAGCAGGCCATGTCATCAAGAATGAATCAACACTTGTCATCAATTAGGACCAGGCCTTCTTCCATCACTGTCACAAAGAAGCGTAGGGTCCAGTCGTATGGCACGAGTGCTGGGAACTCGTCGTGAATCAAGGTGCGGCAGTCGCCGCGGTTTTATAAGGATAGAGAAGCCTTCTCGAGCTGGCGCGCTCGGCTGCGGAACTGCCGATGTACATAGTGCACGCTCGGATTTGAGTTCTGAAAGGCAAAGGGCGCCTTCATCAGCCGTGGGAAGCCTTGATACAGGCTCGCCAGGCGCCGTAACTCGCTCGCTAAGTCCTCTCTGCGTCTTGCTATCGCTCGTTGGTACAGGGCGATGCCGATTTCCAGCTCGTCCGTTTTTAGGTTCGATCGTCCGGCAACGCTGAGCTGTTTGAACAATGCTCGATTCTTAGCGGGCAGATAGGCCTCCAGTCCCTCCAATAAGGAGAGCTGAGAAAAGGGTCGGATGGTGCGCAATTGGACGCTGAGGACCTCCATTTATCGACGTTGCAAGGTATGGGCGTCGTCTATCCTTAGGCGCGACTGCTTCTGGAGGAATGAGACGTCGTACATGTCTCTGAATTCGAAGAATGGGCGCACTTCACGCTTAGTGTCGAGACACAATACGCTCAAGTTGTCAGTAAGTCGAAGGCATTTTTGCCGAGTCGTCCGTTTCCGAACAGATGTCTCCAGGTGGGGCTTATCGTGAGGGCTTGGGTAAGTTGCGGTTCAGCCCAGCTGGATAACGGGATGATCCGTTCGAAGGTTGCCTCTCTGATGACTGTTTCGATGAGCTCAACAGGAAGATTCTCAAGATCGTGTGCAATAGCGCGGTTGCGGCCCATAGTGGGCTTCGGGGCCTACAGGTAGTCGGACATATTTTAAATGATGTGTCAAGTGTAGATAAGTTGCAAATGCATATATGAAGATGCTTCTTTTGTCTAAGGAGGACTCGTAAATTCAAGGTTGGAAGCAAGGTAAGAACCAAATTCGAGGCGAGGGACCCAGCCAGCTGTTGAAAGCCTGGAAGTCTCCGGGGGAATCCTCCAAAACGAACCATTTCGTTGAGATCTATGATGAGCAGCGGATGTGACTGACTAAGAGGCTGAAGTTAAGGGCCTGAAGGTAGATGTGGTGCAGGACAGACTCCCGTCTCTCAAAGAACGGGTCGCTAGGGCGCAGCCACTCCGGCAAGGCTAAGTCATCCACCAACCTTGGTTCAGGACATCAAAAGCCGACGTTCTGTACAACAATTCATGGAATGACTCCAGGCCTTATCGTTACAACCGAAACCTGCAAAACCGACAGCAGGCCGCAACTTACTCTTCACCAGGGTATAAACAACGGGAAAGTACCCAACGTAACTTCTTCGAATACTATCAACATGACGGAACATCTTCCACAACACTCTGCAGCAGCCTTCATGGCTACGCACAATTTGGCCGGTTGCTGTCGGTGAGTTGGAGGGTGAGGCGGTGTCGGGGAGGAGTTTGAAGCATCATGGTGCAATTGAAGTGAACCCTGGGGCTGGGAGGGGACAAGCGTATGAACGATGTAGCAGGCTCTAAGTTGTATTCTGCTATTCTATAGGATCACCTCATGAGTTCTATAGATATTAATTAGTGCTTATCTCATTGGCCATGCGAAATAACATCATCCGCCACGCTCTCTGTACTCATCAAAGCCTGCCTTTTGTAAGGTTGTGCGGTGTCCATGTCGGGAAACGAAGTGTTACTCATCCTCAATGGCTCCCTGTCCGATAGCAGAGATGCAGTCGAAGTGCTGGTGCCGTTCTTGACCTCTATTTCCAACCTTGTCGACCAACGGAAGCTCACTGCAATGCTTTCAGCCACTTTTGCCACTTCGCCGGTCTCCATAAGCTGCTCTGGCGGGCCAATCGGCCTTCAGTCTACTGCAGCCACGGATTATGAAGATGAGGAATAAGGCTCCAAGGCTTCCGCGACTACCAACATCGAACTGTTGCAAATGCAATAACGGACGGGCATCAACAGAGAAATACCGCCACTTCCTTGGCGATATGACTTGAGAAACAAGAAGGATCAACACTGCTCGTTGGAAAGTAGAGCGAAGGGTGAGGAGCGCGTTGAGGTTCAGATATTGTGTTGCAGTTGTTGCAATAGATGAAGGTGTAACCGCGCAAGGCAGTAAATCAGGGGGGAACCACGCGAAGCAGTAGAATCAGTATATTGTGTTGTTCTTGTTGTTCTGTGATTGCCTCTCGCCGGGCCATCAGGGTCTGGTTTCATGACGTATCTGTCGTTCAGACAGAGGTGGAAAGTGCTTGTTGGAAAGAGAAAGAGCACTGCACCAAAACACGTGGCACACATGACCTCTTTACTCCATAAACCGTCCCATGTTGGCGCCAGCCCAGTGCAGGCATGCCGTTGTACGCTGTCAGCATGACAGCAATAGAAACGATCAGGACGAGTGCAAGAACACTAGCACCCACTTCAGATAACCAGGCGCGGAGTACATCATGTATGTGTTCTTGCAGGTTCGTACGAGGAGGGTTGGCTATGTCGATAGCGCTTGTAATGATAAAGTGTGTTGAATTGAAGGGATAGTGTGCGAGTTACGGTGTCAACATTGGGTTTTCGCCAGTGAGGAGGCTGTAGAAGCAGGTCAGTAACAAAAACACCAAGGTCAATATTCGTGATCCCTCAACATCTGGCTGCGTTTCCCACCCTGCTCTTGCATGTGGCGGCGGGGTTGGGCCGTAAGGCAGCCAGTAACGATGCAGCATTTCAAGCCTCGTGTCGCATGACTATACTTAGCCCCGCGACCACCTTGAGAGAGCTATATGGGATAGAATCTAACATAGGCAAATACCAGCATTAGGTTCTGATTGTGCAGATTGACACTGCGAAACTGGCCTGGATGGTAATGTGGTGGAAGCATTGCCTGTACACCGGGCGTTCGATACAACAAGCAATCAATAGAAAATGAAAAGGGTACTGGGGCATTTGGCTGTCCATTGTTGTTTGTAAAGTAAGATCTTGAGTTTGAATTGTGTTTCAGCCAGAACCGGGAATACTACTACTGACTGTTGCCTGCCCCCAAATCAGCATCATTGTGTGCATCGTGGGTGATTGAAAGGAGGACCCCAAACATAACCGGCACATACTTGATAAAACCTCGTTCTCGAGAGCGCTTTAATTCTCTCCATTCATGCGAACGTTTTGTTCATCCCGCTGCTATTTCGTTTCAATGAGAGATTTCAGACACTCTAACCTCTTAACGGTGCCCAGTCCTTCTGCTGTTGCTCGCTCATGAACGATCCAACGTACACACCCTTACCCAGCTTGAATCCTGCATTCCTTAACAACATATACATAGCGTTGAGGTGGAAGTACGAGTTGGGGACGACAAAGCCATGAAAGTAGTCCGCAAGACCAGTCATGTGCAGCGTAGGTTTTCCAGGCCCTACAGAGACATCGCAGCTCTTCTCGGCAGCGTCGTTGTACGCCTTTTCGTCGATGTTCTCGAAGACCTTCTTCACGGCTTCGAAGAACTCAATGACCTCATCGAGAGTTCTGAAATCGGTCTTCATAGCGGGGACCTCGACCTTGGGCAGCTTCAGAAAGTCAAGAGCTGCGACTGAGAACTTGGCCAGAAGAACGGGCTGCATACGGAAGGGCAGCATGTCGCCAAACCTGGAGTCAAGGATCTCCTGGTCCGTGGGGAGACTGCCTTTCGATTGCTCATCCTTGGCAGTGCGAAGTGTGTTGATTGCAGAAGTGCTGATGTTACGCAGCACCGGAACGGTCGTGCCGTAGAAGTTGTAGGTGACGGGGTCGGACATGGCGGGCGATCGACCGTGGCGGGGTGGCGGGGTAGCTGCGATTGGAATCGAGACGCGTTTGTTGGCGGTCACAGTGTGTAAAATGATTGTCTGAAATAGTAAGCAAACCATGGGACCAATTGAGGAGTTATTTGATTACATCCGTACAGTGGTGACAGGTGAGTTGCAGTTGTGGAAAGTGCGATGGGCCGAGGTGTTTGTTTATTGCGATAAATTCGGTCTGCTTCTAAAAGTGGGACCCTCGGGCCTACTATGACCTCAATGAGGTCACAATGTACAACAATGCAATATCGACAGTTTTTGTCAGGGTTGAGGTGTCTCCTTGCAGTCGGTCGCATGGGTGCTTATCTGCTGATTGGTTGCTACGTCGCACGACTACATGTTGATAGCTACACGACAACAATGTAGACATTTCCTTATGTATAGCTTCACTCCGTAGCATGTAAAATAGTCAGTTTAATCCTTCAATCCTTCCCACATGCGTACTGTACACGCTGCCCGACAGTTTTCCTTCACAAGAAGCATATAAACAACACATGTGTGAGTATGTTAACTACCAGAGTGCTCAGGTTCTGGGTATGCCTGCAGCCGCAGACCGTGATCGCACGTCGACGGACCTTCTGTACCGGCTATAAACTGCGTGAGTGCTTGCGCAAATAAGGTTTGGGATAAGTGACGCAGTATCAAGTCTGCTGACAACGCCCATAGCTATAGGATTATCGTGGCTAAATCCAGGAAGAGATATCTCCACCCATCCATAGATCGATGGTACATCGACTGAGATATCAATGACTTTCACAAGTTGCTGACCCCCTTCGATAATTGGAACGATGATGAGATATGGCTTTCTGGCCCGAAGAACATCTTGGTGGGTAGATGACATCATGGTTTCCAGACAGAGGAATTTGTGCAAGTGTGACGGTTTATGGAGTAAATAGGTCATGTGTGCCACGTGTGTTGGCGCAGTGCTCTTGCCCTTTCCAACAAGCCCTTTCTACCTCTGTCTGAACGAAAGATACGTCATAAAAACAGGCACTGATAGCCCGGTGAGAGAGACTAGAACACGGAAGAACAACACAATATATCCTGATTCTACTGCTTCGCGCGGTTTACCCCTGACCGACTGCCCTGCGCGGTTACACCTTCATTTATTGCAACTACTGCAACAGAAAGCCTTTATATCAGCCGACTTGTTCTTGATAGCATCGAATCAACAGGGCCGTTTGCAATGAGCTCGGATATCATTACCAGATACACGTGTCTGCAACATATCGAAATGACGACATTCCATCGAAGGTCGTGCTGGTCATGTAAACAACATCGAGTCGAATGCGACTTACAGAAGCCTTCATGCCGCAAATGCCTTGCCTAAGAGGTCATTCCGCTAATGCAACCGCTCGTTTTCACCTAGCATAAGATGCTTGGCGTTAGGGTGGTCAGGGTAGATGTAACAATGCAGAGCCCCATTGCGCCAAATGGCCAAAAAGTACATCAATACCAGCAGAACTGCTGATATTGGGCTCTGCATCTAATATATAGGCATAGTGCAAGGTACCTCCTTACAGTAGACTATCCGGGCAAGGCGGTAGTAGCCTTCATAATAGTTGAGGTAATAGCCATCTAGCCGGAGGCCGTGATGACTGGGGGCAATGAGTAGTACAGAGTATACTGTCTGGCTCAAGAGCAAGTGAGATTCCAATAACAAAGTTGATTGACGAGGTTGAACACACTGCTGTTGTCAAGACTCAAGTCTGGCCCACTGAGCCAAGCAAGCCAAAAGGTATCACGGCTCACTCTAATGGTGAGCTCTAGCCGGAACAGTATGTTACGATCAAAGGGCAACCCGCAACAACACTGAACGAACAGGACTACGCAACAATACGAGAGGAGCCGAGGAACTGTAGTATCGATCGACCCAAGCAATGGGCCACGTCAGCAATACTCAGTATGATCATCACCCTCAGTGGAGCAACTCAAGCAATCCGAGCAGTGGGCCGTGTTGGCAACACTTGGTATGATTGGTATACTTGGTACGATTGGTATACTTGGTACAATTGGTATACTTGGTACGAGCAGTATACTCGGCACGGTCAGTATACTCAACACAAGCAGTATACTTGGTACAATCAGTATACTCAGTACCAAGCAATCTGAGCAATCTGAGCAATCTGAGCAATCCTCTGCTCATGTATATAGCAAATAGACACGCTGCCCTTATGGCATTGTGTTCAACCTCGCCAATCAACTTTGTTATTGGAATCTCACTTGCTCTTGAGCCAGACAGTATACTCTGTACTACTCATTGCAACCAGTCGCCACAGTCTTTGACTAGACGACTACCTGGCAACTACAGGCCCAACCGATAGTCACCAACCCCTGACGGCTTTCTATACCTCTGATCATCCCGAGAACCAATCGAATAGTGTCTACGAGCTTCGCTTAAGGCACGACTTCAACACTGGGCCGGAGGCTCACGGGCCACCTGTATATATTCCTCACAAACCTTGAGGCTCAGCCATCAAGGATTCGTCTAATCTCATCCCATTTGGCCTCAGACGGCACTAATCCACCCTGTGTCCGATTGCCTGCCTACAGTGACCTCACAGTCGGAGATGAGTACTTAAGCAACATCTGATGCATAACTTTGCACCATCTCCCTTGTGGGTGGTAAGTGTTCTTCTGTGAGTTTATCTATGTACCTAACAAGCTCTGCCTCCTGTAGTGGTTGCAGTTTGCGGCGTGCCAAACCTGCCTCTTCACGGGAACGCGTCTCGCCTTGCCATTGCCGCGTCAAAGTTGACCGCACAACACCATATTTTATAGACAATTGCAACCACAGAATATATTCCTCTTGTTCAAAAGCATCTGCCTCTGCAAGCGCTTCTTTTAATCCTATTGTGGTGTTGTACAGTAAGTACTCAAAAAATGGTGTATGAGACGTGTCCCGCACATTAACTGATTGTGCGCAACGAGTACACGGACACGGTATCGGCCTCTTTGAGCACTCCTACACATAAGGTTTTTGAGCCACGTACAAAGCTATTGTTGAAGTTGTGCTTTAAGCAAGCTCGGAAGCACGGTTCGGTTGGGTCTTGTGGAAGGGTTGAGATGTTGATTGATTCTTTTAGCTATTGGCTGGAATCGATCGGGACTATATAGTAGAAGGGGATAGCAGTGAAGGGTTGGGGAAGCAAACCGAGCTAACCGAATGAGCTGGACAATCAGTGCAGCGGACCGCTAGCAAACAGATGGCGATCGGTGGATACCTTCACCCCCCCAACAGGTCTCAGAGATGAGTAGAGCGTAAAGAAACGGAGATATCCGTGCGCATCTCTAACAGGAGCCCGGCAATAATGCAACGACCCAGCTCCAATAGCTCTAAAGCCTGGTGCTCATCCTTTCCTGCTTCTAGACAGATAGCTACAGCCATAGAAGCCAACCCGGAAAACTGTCCAAGCATATGCTGCTTGTCGGTATTCGCCAATAGCCATGGGCTCACAGTAGGGAGAAGCTTTTCGGCGCCTTCTAGGAGGCTACCTGCTTCTTCCCACCTTAGTTGGGAGGCAAGGATGTTAGCGGCGTGGCGAGCCGAAGCAATGCGGGTAGACGGTGGGGAGGCATGGCAAACCCAACCTTCCTCATAGGAGGATAAAATACGGTTGTGATCCTCCATCGACCCCGTTCGCTCAAATCGCGCGCCAAGCAAGCTTCCGAGGTTGTTCCAGTACAGGGCTCGATTGGGGTGGTCTTGAGGAGCGGCATTGACCGCCATGTCGGCAGCGTCGACAGCACGGTTGAGATCGTCCATCGCCCCCCATGAACCTTATACCTGGATAATGGAGAGGAGCGCCACATGAAGAAGGGTGATGTTTGTGTCCAGTGAGGAACTATCCACGGCTGGGATAACAAGTCCGACAAGCCGGCGAGGATGTATTTTATCCTGACTGGTATGACGAAGGCTAGTTGTTAGGGATGTACTTTTACTGACTTATGTATAGCTGCTGAACCGGTCCAGATCGGTGGCAAGAGCTTGGGAGATGCCGGATTCAGCAGCAAGGATGTAGAGTCTGGAGGAAACTGATCAACCAGCTTACTAGGTGTTACAATGTTCACGCCGGACGTCTTAGCAAGGCCGTGTCTCTGAGCTTCCATGATATTTCCATCAGCATCCCTCGCACAACCGCTCTACACCCAAGAAATCTAATCTTGAATCATCTCAAAGTTCTCAGTAAATCTTACATTATTAGTCGTGATCGTTCACATGACTGCCCTTGATATGCTCGACGATAGAATTTTGATGTACAGCGAAACTCTCTCATGGCGAATGATCGAGTTACACAGCATCTATGCACACCAAGGGTATTCGAGGCTGTCCCAAACAGAGACTAACACAGTACGCCGGCGTGTTCCAACACAGGGAACTACCGTAGACGTCTGTCACAGCCACTAATACCGCCTGCAACGCCATAAGCTACTCCAGGCGCCACTGCGGGGGAAGCGATCACATGATATTGGAAGAGTTATGCAATCACATGCTTGACGAAAAAATATTGGTTGGGAGAGCCTTTTCAACAACGTTGAGCGCAGGGCCAGTGTTATCGAGCGGGATGTAGGCGCGGGGTCTGGACTTAGCCGCAGCTAAAAAGGCTGTCAAAATTAAGTTTCGATGATGTAAACTAAGAAGAAAAGTAGGCGGCCTGGAGATGTTGGCTATTTTTGCGGTCTTGGCGAGTTGCTCAGCCCCGAGCTTCAAGTGTTGAAATATGGGTGAAGGTTAGGATTTTTTTTTTCTGGTTTCTGCTGTAGGAGGATAAAACAAAGCCTTCTGAGCACAACGCTATCCTTTGCTAAGCTCTGCATGCTGTGGTTGTGGTGCTATTGCAGTTCAAAGATTGGGTACCTGTGGTGGGCATCCCAATTGGGTAAGGTCAGCATCCAAGGTGCACTAACCCAAATAGTACTTTTGGTGAATTCCAACCAACACCACTCTTTGCAATGACACACAGCTTCATCAAGGTAGCTTGCACAAAGACATAGCTGCATGCAACCTGCATGGTATCTTTGGTATCTTTTTTGGACATGCATAGGTAGATGATAGCTAGCTTTTCATGTCCTTCCTAATTGGTAGTTTTGGCTGAATCCACTAACCTAAATAGTAGTTTTGGCTGAATCACCATCACCATCACTATTTCACCAACACAGAGCTGCATCAAGGTAACTTGGACATAGATATAGCTATATGCAATATGCATTGTATCCCTGATGTGATTTTTGGCTATGCACAGGCAAACAATGGCAGGTTGTTGATGTCCTTCCTAATTAGTAGTTTTGGCTGAATCCACTAACCAAAATAGTAGTTTTGGCTGAATCAACATTACTGCCACCCTATGTACCAACACACAGTTACATGAAGTCAGGTTGCACATAGTCATAGCTGCATGCAACCAGCATTACATCTTTAATTGGTTTTTTATCAATGCATAGGCAAATAATTGCTTATTTTTGATGTCTCTCCCAATTGGTAGTTTTTGCTGAATCCACTAAGCCTGATTTGTAGTTTTGGCTGAAAGTTTTTCAACCACTATTCACTGTCACAATACACCTTCAGTACAGTCTACAATATGCCTGGAGGACGTCCAAAGAAGTATGCTACTGCTAGCAAAGCAGCAGAGGCAAAAAAAGAGCGCAATCGACAACAGTACCTCCGCAAACAAATCCCTCAGCCTCAAGGACCTCCTCTGATTATTGCTTATGAGCCTATCCTCACTGGAGACACACCACGCCCAACACCTGCAAATACAGGGCTGCGCATCAGCTCCAATAACCCTACACCTGGCAACAACACAAACCATCCCAGCCACCAGCTAGCAGAGGAGCATCTGGCATGGCAGAACCCTTGTGCTGTTCCTTCCGCTGTCAATGATCCAAATTACATAAGAGAGATAGAGGAGCTACAGGCAGCAGAAAAAGAGCGGAATGCAGAGCTTGAGGAAGAAAGTGCTACAATAGCTCAGCACATACAGGCATCAGAAGCTTCAGCAGCAGAGGCTCTCCTAAGCCTGCAGAAGAGCAGAGAGTGGAGCAATAAAGGCCATCAGCTTCAAGACATTAGAGATGTGCAAAGCAGCAAAAGCGCTAGGGATACATTGCAACATGAGGAGAGACAAGATGCGCTACAACATGAGGAGAGACAAGATGCACTGCAACAAGAGGAGAGACAAGAACAGGCTATAGCTCAGGAAAGAGTTCAGAGAAAGCACAGTGAGACTAGAGCTTTGCAACAAGACTCTGTCTCACTTGCAGGCTGGGCCCTAGGAGAAGATGAAGATGTGCAAGACTGCACTGCTCCTCTCAACCTGCAGAGCCCTGCTACACCCAGCAGACCTGTAGCAGCTATTCCAACAATGTTGAGTAGTCTACAACCATCAAGCGCCTCTAGCTCTGCAAGCAAGAAACGCAAGAGCCCTTTCCCAGCTCAGAGCAATAATCTTCTTAGCTACTTTCAGCCAAGAGCCAGGAGCTCTGTCTCAGTTCCTCTGAGAACAACACCTCAGCAAGAACACCAACCCTTTGCTAGCACCAGGCCTGAACCAAGCTCTCAGCCACCTACCAGCAGTCCTACAGAGCATAGAAGTGAGCCCCTTAGCAGCTATTGGACTCAGACCCAGGCAACTGAGAGCACTGCCTCAAAGCTTGCAAAGCAACTCCGCAACTTCCACAGCTGTACCCATGAGGACCACAACAAGGCACAGGAGCTACACATCCAGCATCATCAACGCAGTGATGTTCATTCCAAGTGTTCTTCATTCAAAGCAATCACACAGCTACTACGTGGAGACTACAATGGAGGAAATCCACTTCCTGATATGCTCCAAAATCCTCACTTTATGAAGGCACAGAGCCTAAAGGAGGATCTTGATTGCCAAAGTGCTTTTGAAGGCACAAGCCCTACAGCTCTGCCTGAAGATACTGGAACACGCAATGAGAAGCTGCCTCTTAGCCTCTGCATGTCAGAGTACTATCAGAGTAGCACTAGAACTTGTGCTCCTAAGACAACATTTGACATTGACAGCCTCTGCTGCTTCCCTACTAGTTTAGGGTTTGCACAACATGGTATCCAGTGGCTTCCCAATGCACAACCTGCTCTCAATCTCAGCCATGATGTCCACTTTGGTCTTCAGGTTGCAGCATACAACCAGGTAGGAGACCTGTGCACAGTCACTAAGCCGCTGCACAAGATCCCACATTACTGCTTTGGAACAGTTATAGGCATGGAGTCTCTCCTTATCTATATCTTCTTCCCAGAGCTCCACCTTGACAGCAGCTATGAGCACACCACCTTCCTCAGCAGTGACAACTTTAAGCTGTGGTACAATGGTGTGCTTATGCCTGCTATCCAATCAATAGTTCAAGATGCAAACATCCTTCAACACTATCCTGTATCTGCAGAAGTAGTTGCTCTAGATGCAACTGCACTATCTGCAGAGACCTTTGCAAAGAAGGACACATCAAGAGCACAACTGCTTAAATATGCACTGCAACCACAGCATCTTGATCCTATCTGGACACACATACAAGACAGCATCACCAACAATATAGCATATAGCCGCTTCCGTGGTGCTACACTGTTTGTGAACTCCAAGGATACCAAGCTAGAGTATATGACTCAGGATCTTAGCTCTGCCTACCACAACTGGGAAACCTACTGGTCTAGCATTACCAACTCCAACTTCTACAGCAAGGACTGCACCTTTGTTGATCTTGGCAAGCAGATCACCTCAGAAGAGAGCAGTCTCCCTACTACCTCTGCACCTAGCTCAGAACAAGCAGAGGTGTTTCTCTGGAAGAAGTGCTGCCTTGAGAGCTACTACAGATCAAGGGTTACACTGCTAGCAGATGGTAAGCCAGCCAGAGGCAACCCTAAATGCACTGTCTACCCATTTGCTACAACAAGAGACAGTACCAATCAGACTCTCTTTGCAGCACCAGGTGGCAAAGAGCGTTCAGATGGCCTAGTCTACTCCCAGTTCTATGGGCTGATCAAAACACCATTTGATACTTCAAAGGCCTATGTCTTTCAACAAGATGCGCTTGAAAATCTTGTTCTAGACCCTAGCTATGTCTGCTCTGTTCAGCAAGAAGGTGGAGCAACCATCTTCTCAGAGGCAGTTTGCAAGAAGGCCTATCTCCATATGAAGCAGAGAGCACATGTCAATCTCCAAGACAATCAGTGCAGATCATATGGGATTAGAGAGGAGCATCGGATATCTCTTACTATGATGGAGGAGATTGTAAGCCAGTGGAAACAGCAGGACCTCTACAGCACTGCTAGTTCAGAGGCTACAGAGCGCCCCCTACCCTACTACATTGTTCCAACAAAGGAACTCTTTGGATTCCTCCATGCACAGATCAACAAGTACTGCTTTCTCTTTGAGCACACCTATGCTCACACCTTTGGGCCTGTTTCCCACCCACAATCAGCTGTTATGCTAGTAGCTCTAAGAGCACTCCGATTTTGCTATTCAAGCAATATCCTAGCCCAAGAGTCTCTCCTCTACAAAGACCGCTGGGAGAAGGATGAGGAGCAGCAAAAAGTGGTGGTAGAAGGCTTTGGGATGCAGCAAACAATAGAGCAGTGTGGACTTGGCTGGTTTCTGCCAAAGTTCAACTGGGCTACTCTAAGAATCAAACCACCTCATGGAGAGAACATGCTCCGTGGCTGCCTGCTCAACCACCCTGAGTATAAGCGGAGATGGCAAGCTGTAAAGGACTTGCAGAATGTGTTTGTCCGCTTCAATCAAGCAGAAAGATGGTTACATCAGTACAATATCAGACAGAAACCAGGGCTATTGCGGAAATGGCTTGAGTACTTGTATGCTCTTAATCTAGAGCAGTTTGATGTTGATCTGTGGAAGGCTGTGCTAAAAGCTAAGAAGCAAGCACAGCAGCTCTCTCCCCAGGCACTTCAGCAGGCTGGAAAGATGGCATACTGCTATGATGGGATGAAGGACCTGTTTCTTGCAGATGGCATTGCTAGCCCACCACACCTTGTTACAGGGAGCAAGGGAGCCTTCAAAGGAGTTGGAGATCTGCTTGACTTTCTCTTCCTAGCAGATGATAGGAAGAGAGCTGGCTGGGAGTGGAAACCATTCCGCCAGATTCTTCAAAGGACCTATGAGCTCCTAGAAAGAGAGCTAGGTTTTCAAAGAGCTGAGCTGTGGCTAGACTGGTTTTTACACCTTGTGCGCCTAACCCACTGGATTCTGCCTTCTCCATCAGACCGTGCACTGATTGAATCAACAAAAAGCAATCGAGAAAAGGGTCTTTCTAGCAAGCTTATGTGGTTCTCAGCAGTCTTTAGTCACCCTGAGCTAAGTGTGCAGCGGACTGAGGAGAGCAATCCAAGAACTCTACATGTTCTACTTTACAAAGCACACCGCAGCACTGGAAGAGACGGTACTATGAGCACCCCCTGGGATGTCTTTCAGCTTACTAAAGCTTGTACCAAGCAAGGAATCAAGATACTTGGTGTAGATGAGAGTGTTGAGCACTGGCGCAGAGGTAGAAGAAGTATTGGGTCAAAAGGATGGCTGCCAGTCTGGGAACAAGGAAGACCACCTCTGATAGAGATGCAGGAGAGAATTAGAGGTATGAGTCTTGATGACCTGGAGGGACTAATGACTGGTTGGAACCAGGAGCACAGTGAGCAGATACCCAGTGCTGTTCAGGAAACAGAGACTTTGTCTCCTGCTAGCAATAGGGCTAGAGAGAATGCTTCTCACAATCAGAGTAACATAGGCAGAGCAAGTAACAGGCAACAGAGCCATGCTAGTAGCAGCACAGGCAAAGGGACAGGCAGTGTGTATACTCCATCTGAGTAAACTATCTTATAGAGGCAGCCATGCAGATGTACAAGGAACAGAAGGACACTATAAAGAGAAACTTACACTGGTGTCTAGTATTACCAAAAACAACTGTTTCCTTGCTATTGATTGATTGGTTTAATATCCTATCTGAGTCTAAGACTATGGAAGACAAGTCTTTTTTTTACCCCTTGCTGTCTGTAGGCTATTATTGGCCTGCCTTCCCAATTAGTATAAAATGCTGACAGGGCTAACCCCAAAACAAATAAAATGCTGAAACCCAAACACAACAACATGCAACCACAAGAACTAAATAATATTGATGTTGGTGGAATAGGGCAGGTACCTCTATGGCTACAGTGTCTATTGCTACCAAAAA